TCTAGAGAGCCCATGATTTCATCCCAGTGGGTCCAGAAGGCACATACTTCGGTAATATACTTGTAGAGTAGACACTTCTTTTGCCAGTTCCTCTGTCCCAGTGCACTTATACACCCCTCGTGGGTCCAGGATGCCTTTTCCCAAGTTCAGGGTTTTATTTTTCGCAAGCCATACTTCTGCCGTTCCCTCTAGATGTACAATGCTGGTATTGCATTGCACAAATACTTGGTCCTCGTGTTCAGTCACTGTTATCTTGAAGGAGCTCCCTAAGAGGGAAAACACCGTAATCAGAGCAGCTCTCTGGTGTGCAGCTGACCCACCATTCTGCTGTAGTGCATGCTTGTGTAGTAAGAGATATGATTCCTAGTGAAAAGGGCAGAAGTGACCAGAGGAAGACTTCAGGATGTTCTCCAAGAACTGCAGAAAACAGATTGTCCAGATTATCTTTAACTGTCTGCTTACCTCAGCCTAAAGTCACCTAAAATGAGAGTCTCTAGTTGAAGGATTGCCTACATCAGATTGGCCCTGTGGACATGTCTAGTATAAGGGAATGTCTTGATTGCCTTACTGATGCACGGAAGTCCAGACCACTGTGGGTGGCACCATTCCTTGGGCAGGTGGGTTTGGGCCTTATAAGAAAACTAGCTGTAGCTGGGTGGTAGTGGCATATGCCTTTAATCCCAGCACTCAGGAGCATAGGCAGGTGGATCTCTGTGAGTTCAAGGCCAGCCTGGTGTACAGACTGAGTTTCAGGACAGGCTCCAAAGCTACACAGAGAAACCCTGTCTCAAGAAAAGAAAAAAAAAAAGGAAGGAAGAAGGGAGGAAGGAAGGCAGGGGGCAGGAAGGGAGGGAGAGAAGGAGAGAGGAAAGGAGGAAGGAAAGAAAGAAGGAAGGAAGGAAGGAAGGCTAGCTATATAAACATAAGCCAGCAAAGGAGCCAGAGTGTTCTTCCTTGAATTCTACTTTGAGCTCCTGCTTGAGTTTCTGCCCTGACTGCCCTTAAAGATAGATGACCTGGACTTGTAAGCCATATAATTTTTTTCCTCCCTTAAGTTGCTTTTGGTCAAACTATTTTATTACAACAGGACACGGATCCTGAGTGACCTGGGGGCAAAAGAGAAAACCATGAAGCTGGGTTGACCCAAGAACCTCCTGAAAATAAGTTCAGACCACCAATTAGACCTCTGGGCTCCCCCAAGAGACCTGAGAAGGCAGAAGGATGTTCTTAGCCTGGAAACTGTGCCTTTTATACTAAAGTCTTCTAATTCCTCTTCCCAGCCCATAACTCTCTCACTTCAACTTCTCATCTTCCTTCTCTGTTATCTCCACTCCGGGATCTGCCAGGGTAACAAGATGCTCACTATGAAAGCCTTTTCCAGAGCCATTGACCACTGGGACACAGATAATCTGTATGAACTACCAGCCTAGTGATCCAGATTTCCCAGGGCAAAGCTCATGTAAGAAGATTCACTGGGGAAATGTAGCTCAATGTAGAGGCATGCGCAATGCCCTAGATTCACTCTCCAGTACTGCCAATATTGACATGGTGATTTGTGTCCGTAATCTCAGCACTTGGAAAACTGAGGCAGAAAGCCTGAGACAGCAAGAGCCAGCCTGGGCTACACATTGATATCCCATAAAAAAATAATAAATAGTAGTTCTGTCAGCAGCAGCTGGGACAGAGACACATGCACTGTTGCCCGCAGCAATCTGAGGGGTTCCTTTAATCTTTGAGGAAATTTTACTCAAGTGAAACCCGGATCTTCTCCTTCAACAGAAAATCTTAGGATGAACCATTAATGAAGCAAATTGGGGTTTATCTTAAAGTAATTTACTAACATTGTATTAGTATAAGGATATTTTAATGTAGATTTTAAGCATGTATGTTAAGAGAAAGAGGCCCTCCAAAAAGAAATGCACCATGTCTTTATAAAAAGCTGTACCCACTGTTTTGGTGGATTTTGAAGTTCCTATCCATAGAGTTGCTAAGAAACCTAAATGTATTCACAGGGTAGTTGGTATGGGCATCTTGAGTCTAGAATTGGGGATTCAAGAAGGCAGGAGAGCGTCACTGTAAACAAAGCAGAGTTTTATTTGTGATGCCCTACCCCAAGGTTGCATACACTCAGGCACTAAGACTGCCTTGTTGCTATTTTAACACCAAATACCTATATAGGAAAATAATAGCAACTGGGCAACTTTCACAGCAAATGTTCATTGTGCTGAAATTCTCAGGCTTGAGCTTGTGAGGGGCTTCAGCTAGTTTCTAGGGGTAAAGTTTCCTTTCCCTTCTGTATCTCTATACTTTTTCCTGTCTTTCTAGCCTACCTTAGTGCCACATTTGCTTAAGGAGAAAGGGCCACCAAAGCAGAAGGAAGAGGAGGAAAAGAGGAAGAAGGAAGAATGAGGAGGAGAAGGAGAAGAGCACATCAAATCCATTTCTGAGGTTCCGTATAAGTCAAGTCTTGGCGAGGGAGCCAGAGATGAGCACAGTGGCCCTTCCCAGACAACCAAGAACATCTCACAGGCCACAAGGCACTGCCATGTCTGCTGCCAGCGGCAGCAAAGATGAAGTTTGTGTGTCTTTGAGATTAACCACCAATAGGAATGCAAAAGCATCCTCCAAAACTCCAAAATGGCTGCTCCCCCTGCCTCAGAAGCAGGAGTGGGTATGAGCATGTTAGAGAAGACATAAGTGCATACAATTCTTCTCCTCTTATATTCCTGCCTTCTTTGGAGTTATTTCCAGTAGAAATCTCTGGTGGCTAGGACAGCTTTTAGAGCGACCATTTTACCCAGTTTCCTGGGGATGAGTTCCTGAGATGTGAGCTTTCTGGGGTTATTTTGGGGGTGATTTGGTTTGTACTCTTGCATCTAAGAGATCTACCCCTGAGCTATCTATTTTCTGTTTTAAAAGTGAACAAACTGAGAAGAGCTGGTATCTACTGACTTTGATGTAATATATTCCCTGTCTGTCCTTTCCACTCAGCTAAAGCTAACTTTTCTCTAAGATCGCTTCTTAATTTTGAGCTGTAGCTCCGAGTGGTCACATAATGATGGCCAATGACCCAGAATCCTACTTCAGAAGGCTATTTTCCTTAGAAGATGCAATGGGCATAACTTCTTCCATTACCAGCTTTAGGCCCAGGCATATGCAATGTGAAACTGTTTCCAGAAAATGTCTGGTCCCAGGCCTTTAGAGATACCGTTAAGACCAAAGTGAGCCTTGACTCCAGTAGCCCCACCCCGCCCTTCTGACCCTCCCCTGCCTGGTAAACTAAAGCCAGCATTGAGATGCGCTTTCTAGTGAACTTCTTCCAGTGATAATGTCCCTCTCAGGTCCCTTCTGCCACACAGCTGAAGATGCCTCACTTACCTCGAGGGAGAAAAGCAGCCAGTATCAGACCAACCAGAATGCCGTTGTGTTCCATCTTCCAGAGGAATTCATCCAACAAATAGAGGCAAGTCACAGAGCGATCAGCCAGGGTGAGCACTACCCTCCACCAATGGACTCATGGGTATTAAGAAAAAGGAAGAGTGGGGGAGGGACTAGAAAAAATCTGCCTCTCTGCCTTTGATGATAGGAGGCTGTCAAGGTTGGGGGATGGTAAGAAGGAAACAGGTGCAAGTTGCTCTTTCTGGAGCAGAGTTTGGGAGTAAAGGGAGAAGGCAGAAGAGAGACTATGAGAAGTTCATTCTGCCTTCTACGAGGTGAAAGGAGTTTGGGGATCAACTTCCCTGGATAACAAATGAAGAAAACTTTTTGTTTGTTTTTGTTTCTGTTTTTTGAATCAGGGTTTCTCTGTGTAGCTTTGGCTGTCCTGGAACTCACTCTGTAGACCAGGCTGGTCCTGAACTCACAGAGATCCACCTGCCTCTGCCTCCCAAGTGCTAGGATTAAAAGCATGTGCCACCACAACCCAAAACAAAGGAAGAAAACTGAAGGTTTCCTATTGACAACACCATTACATGTACTTACAAACAAGAAAGTGCCACCTCTTCAAATCCATTGAGAGAAGCTATTGAGTCCCATTACACAAGCCACATTAGCAGTTCCTCCCATTCATTTCTGGCCAGTCTCAGGACCCTTCACAGGACAGTATGGGGTAACACATCAAGCTGCTTTTAGCCCGAGGGACTTCAGAACCCCTCAGCCAAACATCTGAATCCTAGATCCAGTATGTTGTACCCATAGCACCAAACAGGGAGTATTTCAGATCTTGTCTCCCTCTAAGGATATGGGGAGGGGTGTTTCCATGGTTTGCCACCCAAGCCTTCTCTACATGAGAGTCTTCTTAACAATAAACCTACCCGCTTGTAGAATTGAGTCTCCCCAGCAGACAATAGACTTTTTCTGCTACAGTCTGTGGGGATCTGAGACTTTCCATACTGTCATGATCAGAAGATCATCTGCCTGGGACAAAACTATGTTTGGTACCTGATGTCATATAGAAGTTCTGTGAATTTCTGTTACCCATTGACTGGCTGAATGAGACAATGGCCTGAAACCCTGGAAATATCTCAGGGTTGTACTCCAAGAAATATGCTAGCTGTCCTTTTGAGATGGGCCTACCATTTTCAGTTAGGTACCACTTTGATGCTCTCAAATTGCTCATGAAGGTCTACACTAAGATGTTTTTCCATTCAGAACTCCAGCCCTACATACCTAAAAGTCCTACCAAAATCCATGAGTTCTAGGATCAAGTGACAAACAAATCTAGTCCTAGTAACAGTTACAGACAGACAGTCCTCAACCCATTATGCAAAAGGTTCTAAGGATAAGGGGTTTCCAATGGGAATCTAGAACTCTCTCTCTCCCTCCCTGCTATCTGCTACCCTGAAAGCCTCAACTTAAATAAATAAAAGCAATACGTCTGTACAACAACATCCCTGGTAGGGCCTCTGCTACCCACATTTTAAGTAGAGGGTGGGGACACTGGGTTTTCCCTGTGCTCAGAGCCCCAGCTCAGAGGCTGCTGGGCGGAGCCAGGCTAGCTGCTTCACAAGCTGGCTAGCTGGCTGCTAAGGGGCCTCCACACTTCTAGAGAGGAAAAAGACTGACATGGAGCACGGGAAGGGTCTGACCGGCCTCATCCTGGCAATCTTTCTTCTTCAAGGTAAGAGTTTATTTGAGGCTCTGACAGCCTGGGGAAGGTTCACGGGAAGGGACCATGACCAGGGAGGCAAGGTTACTGGAATCCTAATTGACCTTGAGCCAACTTCATCTGTCATCTTAGAATTCAAAGCAGGAGAGGCAAAACCAAAGCCTCCAGCTGTTCGATGCTTGAAAGATGCTTGGGGACCAGAAGGCTAAAACTGGTTAGAGAGAGGATTGCACTGCCGCCATCTTAGGCTTGAATGTAGTTCAGAAGGGCCGTGCACCTGGGGTACTCAGCCAGTAAGGCTCTTGCTTACCATGTAAGCATGGGAATCTGAATTCAGTCCCCAGAACCCATTAACAATGAGGGTGTGGTGGCACACTCTAGTCATCATAGCACTGGGAAGGCAGAGAGTGATGGATCTCAAGGTTTTCTAACAGCTCAGCCAGCCTCAACAATTCAATTACACACACACACACACACACACACACACACACACACACACACACACACACGGCCCAGACAAGGAAATTGAGAGACAAGGGTCTATTCAATGGACCTATGGAACATTTGTCCACAAAGCTGTTTAATGGATTACCAAGCGTGGTGAGATCCAGGCATGTGAGACTCCAGAGAATAAAAAGATGAACAAAAACCTTCTGTTCTCAAGAGTCCAGGGTGTCATGGGAGAGATGGGTTTCACTGCCGACACACTAAGTACAAGCACGCAGCACGGCAATACCTGTGTGAAATAGTCAACAGGAAGTAGGTGAATTAGGCTGATACCTGTGTGCCCTGAGGGAAGCTAAAGTCATCTTATTTGTTTGTGTGCTTCTTTGTTTTATGTTTGAGTGTGAGGGTGTATGCATGCCATGGTTTATATATGGAGGTCAGAGGACAACCTGAAGAAACTGGTTCTCTCTTTTTAGTATGTGGAGCCTAGAACCAAACTCAGGACCCCAGACTCAGCAGTGAGCACTTTCACCTGCTGATCCATCACAATGCTCCTCCCTCCCTTCCTTCTTAACAGGGTCTTACCATGCAGCCCAGGTTAGCCTCCATCTCATAGGCAAGCCTCTTACCTCAGCCTCCTGGGTGCTGGTGCTATAGGCTTAAGCCACCACATCCAGCTAAAGGCCTGATAATTGTTGAAACTACCAAAAAAAAAAATTTGTGATGTATCAAGAACAGAAAATGGAGGATGGAGCTGTGAGGAACCAAGAGTATGAAATATTTGCTGTATGTAGCAGCATCTAAACTCAGTACTCTGGAGGTAGAGGCAGAAAAGCCAGACATTCCGGAATAACCTGGGCTATATAGCAAACTCTAGGTCAGCCTAGACTGTATAAGCCCTGCCTCAAAAGAACGACAAACAGGACATAAAATGTCGAACATAATCCACTAATGTAAGAATATATTTACATTTTAAACTTGTGGGATTTGGTGAGATGAAGATCATGGCTGATTAGAACGGTTTCAGTAGAGTGGTGTGAGTGGGAGCCACACTGACTTAAGAAAGTGAGGAGGGTGGGTGATAAAGGTGACAAGGTAGAACCTTGCTGGAGAGGGATTTCAATCAGGCAGAAGAGATGGGAGCAAAAGAGAAATAGAGCATACGACGAAATAAAAGATGACTGGGCGGTGATGACACACGCTTTTAATCCCAGCACTCAGGAGGCAGAGGCACGTGGATCTCTGTGAGTTCAAGGCCAGCCTGGTCTACAGAACAAGTCCCAGGACAGCCAGGGCTACACTGAGAAACCCAGTCTCCAGAAAAAGAAAAGAATTAAATGGATGAACACATTTTTTTTAAAGCTAAAGGAGATGGTGATGTGTATAACAAAGGTCTAGAGTAGATGTCAGAAAGATAGAACTGAGAGCAGAGTCAAGGGCACACAGAGGAAGGCAACAGTAGGAGTGAGAATAACAGAAAGCAGGTGCAGCGGATCGCAGGAGGCAGACTTGTAATCAGACCGGAAGCAGGACAAGGCCACAGCAGCACCGCTGCTCTCAAGCACGGAGGGGAGGCAGTGTAACTGTGGCGACACTACATAGATGACAGCAGAGTGGGAGACTTTGAGAAGATGGTGGCAGTGGAGAAGACTTTCTGGGAGAAGATGGAGAAAGCTACAGACCGTGAAAGCTTAAGGGCGATCCTGAAAGCCAGCGGGAGGCTTCTGGAAAGAATACCAGGTTGAGCAACAGAAAAGCTGAGCCCCGAGTCCAGCTCAGCCACCAGTAAGTTGTGGACACTTGAACACCTCTGCTCTCTGAACTCAAGTCTCACACCAGTCAACTGGATATTTGGCTACATGGGCTCTTGAATCTCAGAGCCCACACTCAGATAGGCAAATGTCAACAATGTCAGCAGTCACTGCAGGAGTCAACAGTCTCCTCTTCTGTGACTCTGAGTAGAAAGGCCTCCTTGCTTTCTTACAATAGCCAGGTGACTAGGGATAAGGGCTAGTGAAAATATTTTTAGGTGCCATAGAGATGGCTCAGTACTTAAGAACACACTTACTACTCTTGTAGAGAACTGGGATTCAATTCCCAGCACCCACAAGATGGCTCACAACTGTCTATAACTCCAGATCAGAATGTTCTCTTCTGGCTCCCACAGCACCAGGCATGCATGTGGTGCATATCAAGAAAAACACTCATGCACATATAATCAATCTTTAGAATAATCAAATATCTAACTGTTGTGTCCTTTTACCCCACTCACCCCCATAACCATTCATCTGGCAAATTAAGCTCCTCCCATGTTCATACACAGCGTCAGCCTGCAGAAGTTGCAAGGCAGTTGACACTTCCAACCACATCTGTTATGCTTGGACTAGCTCCCCCATCACTAACTCTACATCTATCCCCACCACTTCCCTATCCTCTTCCCTATCTATATCTTTAATTGACTTTTTTTTCCTACTCAAAAATGTTTTTCCCTATCTGGTGAATTTTTACTTGTTCTTCAATGTAAGCCAAATGTCATTTCCTCTACTAAGTTTTTGTATTTGAGTAGAGTCGATTATTTCTCTTTTTTCTTCTCACCTCTCCACTCCTCTGTTCTCCTTTTGCCTCCTCTCTCTCACTCCTTTTGAGACAAGGTATCCTGGCTATTCTGGAACTCAATATTTAGACTTTCAGAGATCTGTACACCTTGCCTCCCAATGGCTGAGATTAAAATGTGCACTGCCACATCTCTCTTTTATATTTTTATGAGTTTGATGTTTTTTTAGTTTTTCATGGCAGGATTTCTTTGTGTAACCTTGGCTGTTTTGGAACTTGCTCTGTAGATGAATCTGGCCCTGAACTCACAGTGATGCACCTGCCTCTACCTCCCGAGTGTCAGAATTACAGGGGTGAGCAACCACCACCTGGCTGAGTTTTATTAAATTCTTAAGACAGCCACCCCAGGATATCCCCTGATGTCCAGCCTTAGTTATTCTGTCTTACTACCTGTAGTAAGGCCCATGCAACTGCCACTATAGCAAAAAGGCACATCACTACATTCTACACGAGGAAGGGACAGCCATGTTGGAATTGCTTCCATGATGCTCCACCTTCAGATAGCTCAGTTGCATACCTTACTACTCTAAGCAAGGACCATGAAATTATTCCTCCCAAGCCCTTTAGTTCTACCATGCCCCTGTCTGCGCACCAATTTGTTGTGCTAACTTTTTCCTGGAGAGACATGAACAATCTATTCACTTCAAGTAGGACACTGGTGCAGATTAAAATAATAATTCCACTGACCTCCAGCTTAGTGAATCAGTTTAGTTGGCTTATTTACAGAGGAAGGGTGGGGATTAATTGAAGGATTGTAGATAGCCTCAAAACAGCTGCATCACTGCGAAGTCCCACCCCATTACAGATACCAAACTCATAGAAGATGCATTGTGGAATCTATTATTTTTCACATACATTTGTATAAGCACTGGAGTTAGTAGCAGCTTCAAAATCCTCACTTTCTAGATGGTAAAACTTAACCAGCCCCATCTCAAATCATCTCCTTAGCATAAAGTCAGGGTAGTCAAGAGTCTCGCATGAACAACAAAGGCACACTCTTCACTCAAGAAATCCCAAAGATTTAGAAACTCTCACCAAGAGGGGCTGAAGAGATGGCTAAGCGGTTAAGAGCATACTGCTGATGCAGAGGACCAAAGTTTGGTTCCCAGCATCTACATCAAGCAGCTCACAACTATAAGCCCAGCTCCAGGGATCTGATGCCTCTGGCCTCCGCAAGCAGCTAAACTCTCATGAACACATGGACTTGTTCAGATGTCCATACACACAACTAAAAATGAGATAAATATTAAAGAAAGTCCCACCCAGAAAGGTAGGGCAAAGGTCAAACACAGTATTGTTTGATTCAGTTTGGTGTTTTAGGCTATATCCAGGAAAGAAAACACAGATATAGCCATTGCTATGGACTAGGATCTCTCTTGATCTTGCCCTCAAATGACCATGCAAATACCTTGGCCCATCAGAACAAACCTATGTCCAACTGATTCTTTATCTTCCTTATATCTTTCCAGGTACTGTGGCCCAGTCAAAACAAGGTAAGATAAATTGTTTCTCTCTATCCTCAAGTTCTGAACTCCATAGAAATATGTCTTCCTACAACAGTATTCTCAAGAGCTAGGGAAATAGCTCAGCGATCAAGAGCACTTCCTACTCTTCCAGGGGACCTAAGTTCAGTTTCTAGCTCACAATTGTCTGCAACTCCAGCTCTAGGATACACAAAACTCTATCCTGGCCTCTGTGAGTACCTGTACATACACCACACACACACACACACACATACACACATTCATTTTTTAAAAAACCGATAGTCTCATAATTTTGAAAAGGAACTATTTTGAAAAGATGAGATGGTAAGTGTCAAAAACTGACATTTTCATTATCAATTGGTGTCCTTCCAGGACCCATTCTGGGCAGCTTTCCTAGGCCTAAGCAATGAATTGTCTTGTTCTTACAGTAGAAACAGTATGCATGCCTTAAAATATGACTGAACCAGCAGCAATAGCATCGTGTAGGAGCTTGTTAGTAGCAGATCTCACCTCCCCAGAACCATTAAATGAGACCTGAAATTCTAACATGATCCACACGTGATTTGCATACACCATAACCATGAAGAGACAGTGTTCTAACATCTTCTGGTACGATCACAAAGACCCTTAATAGAATCAACACTTTTTTCTTTCCAGAAAATAATTTGGTAAAAGTGGATGACAATCGAGGAGATGGTTCTGTAATTCTGACATGTGACTTGAAAGACAAGACCATCATGTGGTTTAAAGATGGGAACAGAATAAGTAGCCCCAACGCAACTAAAAACACGTGGAATCTAGGAAGTATTACCAAAGACCCTCGAGGCACTTTTTGGTGTCAAGGAGCAAAGGACAAGTCAAAGCCACTCCAAGTGTATTACAGAAGTATGTAACCCTTTCACAATGTTTGTTGGGAATTCAGCAGTGCTTACTGTCCTGGTGGGCTTACCATCTAGGACGAGGTGGGAATAGATGCTAAACAGTGATTTATGGTAATAATAATAGCTAGTTCTCTCTGTGTGGAGTTACTACACTTTATATCGACACTTCCCATAGCTTTTTTTAGATGTTCGTCATGGATTAGAGTGGTTCAGCAAATCGATCAGTTAGAAGAAGGGGACCCGGGATTGGTGTGCAGAGGAGAGGAGAGCAGGGTTAATGAGACTGGAGACTAGATCCTCCTCCTCCTTCTCCCTTGTCCTCCTTCTTCACCTAGTTCTTGATTATAGCACTGTTTAGGCTCCCCTGGGATTAAGAAGAGGGAGAATCCTGTGCCCAGGACAGAGGCTTATTTGCTGATGGGTGGGAGAAAGGAAAAATGTAAGAATGTCTTACATCCTGAAAGAGGTCTGTTCCTCCCTGTGTCTTGTTCCCCACAGTGTGTGAGAACTGCATTGAGCTAAATATAGGCACCATATCCGGTTTTATCTTTGCTGAAATCATCAGCATTTTCTTCCTTGCTGTTGGTGTATACTTCATTGCTGGGCAGGATGGAGTTCGACAATCAAGAGGTAAAATTAAAAATAATTAAAAAAGAAACTAGATATGGAGGTACATGCTTGTAATTCTAGATACTTAAGAAACTGAGGCTGGAGGGTCCTGAGTTCAAAGCCTGCCAAGCCAACAGAGCAATACCTTGTCTTAAAATAAAATTTGTAAAGGTCTGGAAATATACCTCAGTTGGTAGACTGCTAACCTAGTTTGCACAATGCCTAAGGTTCAACCCCCAAAACTCACAAACAGATGTGGTAGCATATGCTTATAACCCAACCACTCAAAAGATGGAGGCTAGAAAATCAGAAGTTCAAGGTCATTTTCAGCTACATAGAGAGTTTGAAGTCAGCCTGGTCTACATAAAACACTGTCTCAAAATGAAGAGGAGGCAAAATGAAGAGGAGGCAGCTGGAGATCTTGCTTCAAGCTCTGAATTGATTCAGTCCCTAGCACTGAATAAAACTGAGTCTGGTGACCCAAGCCTGTAATCCCAGTATTTGGGAGCTAGAGATAAGAAGATCTGAAGGTCAAAGTTATTCAAAGCTACATAGGCCACATGAGACACTATCTCAAAAAAGAAAAAAGAAAAAAGAAAAATAAATAATCGAGATATGTAGCTCTGTGTAAAACACTTTATGTGGTTTATGTGTGATGCCCTGAGATAATTCCTATGTTCTGGAATTAGAAAGAAGTAAAAGAATGCCTTGAGTTGAGAGATGGGACCAACTAAGACCTTTGGCCTCCCATCGGGAGACTGAATTGGTGCATATTGTTAATGTTAATAACTGATGACCCTATGTCTTTGTGGGGCAGAAAAAAGACATTTCTTATTATCCCAACATATTTGACTAGCTTAAGATCTGGCCTCTTTTTTATTTTCTTTTTCTTTCTACTTTCCTTTCTGTCTTTCTTTCTCTCTCTTTCTTCCTTTTTCTCCTTCCTTTCTTGCTTTCTTAAATCTCTTTTCTTTTTCTTCTGTTGTTGTTTTGAGACAGGATCTTGTAAGGTAGTCCTGACTAGAACTCATTATGTAGCTCAAATCCCTAATGTTTCTCCCAAGGAGTGAGATTATAGGCACAAGTTACCACGATTGATCCTTCCATGTGTTTTCATACTTTACTGAAGACAGGCATAATGGCATATGCCTTTAATCCCAGCACTCCAGAGGCAGAGGCATGTGAATCTCTGCGGATTTAAGATCAGTGCTTACCTATCAAGTTCCAGACAAGCAAAGGGTTACACAGTGAGACCCTGTCTCAAAAAACAAAATTATTTATTGAAGCTAAGTGTGGTGGCTCACATCTGCAATCCTAGCACTAAGGGAGCTGAGACAGAAGCTGAGTCAAGCTTGAGACTATCCTGGTCTACATAAAGAGCCCCAGGCCAGCCGGAGTTACATTGTGAGATCCTGTTCTGAAGAAAAAAGGAAGAAAGGAAAGAAAACATTCCTTTTTTTAAAAAAAGGAATGTAACTGTACCTAGTGCCTCTGATTCTCCTGCTTCTACCTTTCATGTGTTAGGATCACAAGTATATGCTACACCCTGTACATGCAGTGTTGGAGATCAAACTCATGACCTCACACATGCTAAGCACTCAGCCAACTGATCTGCATTCCCAAGACCCCAAGACGGCTTTTATTGAAGTAAAAATGACATATTCAAAAGTGAATCACAAGAATACTGCTAAAACAAAGCTAACAAAACAAACATATGCGTGCATCTGGTACCCAGTTTGAGAAAAAGAGTGTTACCTCCATAGAAGCGCATTGAAGATCACTTCCAGCCACTACCTGTCCTTAGGCTTGAGCACTCTCCCGACCTGTGACCACAGCAATGTTCTGTTTGGCTCTAGTTCTGTGGAAATGGATCTGAGTGGTACATAGCCTTATGTGTAGCCTATTTTGCTCAACAATGTGCTTTTGAGAACAATCCATATTTTTATGTGCAGATGATTCTTATACTACTTGGAATTCCACTGTGTGCATAATTCAATTTATTGTCATCCTGTCTTTGAATGTATATTTTGTCTATTTTTTGTGCAGCTTCTGACAAGCAGACTCTGTTGCCAAATGAACAGCTCTACCAGGTAAAGAACCAGGGATGAGAAAAACAGTGCTACAGTTGGTTGGGGTGGACCTTCGGGGCTCAGGGAAGGTTATTTGGAAGCTACTGTAGAGATAAAGAGCCACTTATGGCATGCCCCATAATGGGATGGTTGCTGTGTTGGATAGCATGGTAAACATAAAGAAAGGTAAGGATCTGGTGAGAAAAAGCTGAAGAACACACTGAGAAAGACACATAAAGAAACTCCACGGGGACCCTCCCTCTCCTCTTTTGGCTCCTAGAGCTGTGACACACCCAAAGTTTTGTTCACAAAAATAAGTGATGAATGTTCTTCACATTAGTTAATAAAGGATAGATACATGAGCTGATGTTGATGCTGCCTTCTTCAGCCCCTCAAGGATCGGGATGATGACCAATATAGCCATCTCCAAGGAAATCAACTGAGGAAGAAGTGAGCGCAAGACGACTCCAAGTAGGTGGGCTCTTCCCTGTTCACCCTGGGTCTGTGCCTCTGCATGACCTGCAGGCTTCCTAGCTGCTGCCCAATCCCTTTTTCCAATAAGAATGAGATGTGGGGTACGGGTGGTTGACTGTAGAGTCTCTTTTCTAAAGTCACTGGTACCAGGACTGATTGAATACATACATAGATGCCACGAGCATCTGTAAATCACAGCGGAGAACCTCAAGCCAGAGATGCTGAACTGATGTTCTCTGAACTTCCACAGTTTTTCTTTGTGATGAGGGACTTCCTGGCTATTACAGCAACATCCTTGGTCTCTATCTGCCTGATGGCACTGGCACACACTCTCTCTGTGTGATGAACAAAAATGTGTTAGACTACCCAGTGGCCCCTCTAAGACAAAATTGCCATTAAGACCTAAAGACCAAACTGGGCATGGTGGAGCATACCTTTATTCCCCAGTCCAGAGGTGGTTCTGTGATTTCCTGGCTATCTTGGTTGGGGTGGGGGGAGGGAAGAAAGAAGAAGAAGAATCAGAGGAAGGGGAACAAGAGGAAAAAAGAAACACTTAAAAACCTTTATTAACTTTTTAAATCAACCTAGCAACCAATCAGAAGTTCTGATTCAATAAACCCTTCACAAGTGTCAATCAGGAAGACAGATTTGAAAACATCAGTTGGTTTTCTGACCAATTACAAATTTTCTTTCTCATTCCAGGTGTTGTCCCTTTCATCCAGTACCCAGGAACAAAGCAATGTATTTTGGAGAGCACCCATTAGACAGATTTTCAGCCCACGGTTAATCTGCAGAGGTGGCAAGCAGCAAGGAAGAACTGTCAGAGAAATTTTGGGGTTTTCTCACAATAAAAGTCCAAGCTGGCAGTATAACTCAGTAATAGAGCACTTGACTCAAGCTTGCTTAAGGCTCTGTGTTAGATTCCCAGTACCCTACCCCCATCCCCACCCCCACCGTGAAAAAAACAGTGAAGGGAAAACAAGCATAGTGTGGTGTTTGCAGAGCGCCACCTATTGGGGAAAATTGTAAAAGACGAAATTAAAAGAGCAAGTATAACCCACCTCTGTCCAAAGAGACATTTTCTTCTTTTTAACGTTCATCAAATTTTTATGCTGTTCATAATTCAGTAGACCAATATGGCAGTGGAGTGGCTCATCAGGTTAAAGTGTTTGCCACACAAGCCTGTAGATCTGAACTCAATCCTCCAAAAAGTGAAAAAAGAACCTACTCCACCAATGTTGTTCTCAGACCTCCACACACATGTGAACCACACACACACACACACACACACACACACACACACACACCGTCCATACATATCACACACTCTATATTAATAATAAATAAAAACATAATAGTAATCATAACTGAATTATATATGTAGTATGTAGTAAAAGGTCTCCTCCCACCAGAGTAACCTTCCCCACAGGCAAGTGAGTTTCTTACACATGTTCTTGGGTATATTCTAAGCATGTAAGGACAGATCTTAAGGACACTTTATTCTCCCTTCTCAGTTCTTCACACCAATGATATAACACTATATATCTTACATTTTCTCCTAATCCAACCTGAAGATTGTGAAGTAGAATAAGGTAGAAAAGACCAATTACTGGCTATTGATTTATTTAGTGATTCACTTCCAGTGCTACTTGTACTGCCTATTTGCCAAGCATGATTTCATTGAGCCCTGGAATAGAATGGCGTGGAGAAATTGCCAAAATAATGAGTTGTTGTCCTTAACCTGCTGGCTGCCACATGTTTCTGTAAAAGGTTGCTTGCTTGCTCATCTCATTGTGTGGTCCTAAGTATAAAATGAGAATACAAACAGGTCCTGGGACCAAAGCCTTTCAGTGGCTGTCCTCTCTTCCACTTATTCTCATTGCTGTTTGGGTGCTTATTCCACAAAGACATCAGCATTTCTGGACTGCCCTGGCCCAATGAGATCTCCTTGATCTTGCCCCTAGTTGGTCCAGAAAGCCTGTTGCTCTTGGGTCTCTCAGTCCGCCAAAGGTCTCTGCAACTGGGAGGCTTCCAAAATTCCAGGATCCCTTTCCAGTGGCCAAGAGGACTGTAAGACCTAGGACCAGAGTCTCTGAGTGGAAGAAAGTGAGATTAGGCAGGAAGTCCAGACCCCAGGGAGATAGACAGGAAAGCCAGCGTGGGGTTCATCACCCCACAGATTTTTGCATTCATAGTCTTGATGGAATACTGAGCTGGCACTGATCTCTAAGGAAAAGTTAGATAGGTCTCTGGGGAAATAGACAGACTGAGAATCTAGAATGAGGAGGTATAATTTATGAATGGATGGTGAATGTGTATAATGGTCCTACAGCTCTGTGGCTACAGGGTCTGATTGAACTCCAGCTTGAGGTTTCACCTGAACAGGTACTCACCTCCAATAATAAGAGGTGACAGGGATATATGCGTGGCCCTAGGTAAGACCTTAAGCTGTCATGAGTTCAGCACAGGGCTAGGCACATATAAACTCACCTGGTTCCTGATTAGGGAACTCCTCTCACCATGAGATTTGCACAGTCCCTCTGTGAGACCCCAAAGTTTTGAGAAAACAGTTAACAAAATAAAATTTTGCCCATGTTGCTGCCTATCTACCAGTTCTGAGATGCAGTAGCATCTCACCAACCTCAACGGGGGCAGCTCTGTCAGACTCTGGACCTCTATGTTCCAGGGATGAGCTCATTCCAATGTGTCAACTTAGAAATCCCAGGTTCTCCCCTCATCCAAAATGTTGGCATCTATGTAACCCAGTCTCATTCTTGAAGAGGAGTGAGAGTTCCTTCATGATTGCATAGGAATTATAAAATATATTTTCTCCTCACTGACAGACTTAGAGGTCCAGCTGCTCCTCTATTTAGACATAGAACCTTTTGCAGATAGGAGCTGAAGCCTACAAATAGGGGAATTTGCTCCTCACATCAAGAGACTCAAAATAACAATATATCAAGAAAAGGGACTGCTTACCTCAAGGGACAAAAAAATTTAAAACAGAGACCAAACCCTCTGTTCCTAGATACAGTTGGGCCCCTGACTGTGGCAATGCCACATTGCCAGGCTTATATAAAGAGTCAAGGTTGAGAGAGTTGGAGAAACAAACTAGCAGACCAGATGGCCAAACAGGCTGCCCTCCTCGGTCAGGATATAGCCCTACACCCCCCCCAAAGATATATGAGTATCACAATGTTGCCAACATTGGTCCAACAAGCTAGCAAAACCTGTCTTCAGTGTGCTTGAAACAATTTCAAGCAGGGAGCCAAGCCCCCACTCCCACCCCCATGCTGACACAAAACCAATTCTATCCATTGAAACATCTAAAGACAGACTTTACTGACATCAACCCAGCAGAAGGTACCCATACTTGTTGATTATAGTGTGCACTATTTCAGGCTCGGTAGATATTCTTCCTACCTGCACAGAGAATTAACTTGGACCTTGCACACATGAACCCACCCCCCAATTATCAGATCTCATTGAGGGAAATGAATAGAACTTTTAAAATGGTACAGGTCAAACATTGCAGAGAAGCAGACCTCCCTAGCAAGAAATTCTGCCACTTGTATTGTTTAGGGTGCATTGCATGCCCCTCAAATATGGTTACTCTCCTTTTGAGATCATGTTTGAGCCCCGTGGTTGTGGCACCTTTAATTCCAGTATTCCAGAGACAGAGGCAGGCAGATCTTTGAATTAGAGGCCAGCCTGGTCTACAAGAGCAAGTTCCAAGATAGAAAAACCAAAAAAGCAAAATATAGAGCAGAAATTATGTTTGGCCACTCTCCTCTACTTCTCCCAAAGGACTCAAAGAACCTCCAGGAGCATGAACCTAGGCAGGAAAGATGGCTCAGCAGTTAAGAGCACTGGCTGCTCTTCCAAAGGTCCTGAGTTCAACTCCCAGAAACTTACATGGTGGTTCACAACCATCAGTAATGAGGTCTGGTGCCTTCTTCTGGCCTGCAGGCAGACATGCAGGCAGAACACTGTACATATAATAAATAAATCTTTTTTTTTTAAACAGAGTATGAACACACCTGCCTCCAGTGTCTCTTAAAAGAACAGGCTGGCACTGCACAAAAATTGTCCACCCTTGCAGCTCTTGAAGTTGCAGGTGTCAAGCCGTGGATACATCAAGCCAGAATGTGCTGAGAGGTGACTCAGACTATCTGACCCAGACTGCCCTCTGAAGTTGACCAACTCAAAGAATCTCAGAATAGAGACAACAGCTCAGCTCCTACTCTGCCTCTTCACATGGACACACATCTGAACCAGCCCCTATTCAGCTGACTTTGTTACGTAGATTAATCTGGAGAGCAACCCTTAGCGCCTTAGGGTATGCCCCTACTAGGAATAGACTAGCCAGGTACCATCCCTCTGACCTCACCATGCTGTGATGGAACTGCCCACAACAGTAAGAAAGCCTGTGATTCCTTGTGACAGCCTACAGATGAGTGGCCAGAGGCCAAATGAACATTTGTGAATTGTTGTGGAGGGCGTGAACTTCACCATGAATCTTCTCTCTCTCTCTCTCTCTCTCTCTCTCTCTCTCTCTCTCTCTCTCTCTCTCTCTCTTTCTTTCTTTCTCTCTCTCTCTCTCTCTCCAAAACAGCTCCCACAGAGGGCAAGGAGTCAACAGACCTTCGTTCGGAGGGAACCAGGTTAGAATGTGTGACTGCTCATAGAAAAACCAACCCTTCATCTGCCTTTAGTAAATTCCAATCATGAGCTCCTTTGCCTAAGTCATGATTGCTAGATATGTTTACATGCAAGCCAGATTACTTAGACTGGAGTAGGAATGATTAACCAAGCCCAACTAACAACACAAAAGGGATGTGTGTAACTGGGCAACCTGATCATGTCAGAAGATAAGCCCAATGTGTGGGAAATGAAAAGGGCTGTACAAGAGCAGTTAAAAGAACAGTGGTTTCTGCCCAATGGTGAGGCGCATGCCTTCAACCAGCACTTGAAAGGCAAAGACAGGTGGATCTCGTGGATCTCTGTGAGTTTGAGGCCAGCCCGATCTACAAAGTGAGTTCTAGGGCAGCCGGAGCTGTCTCAAAAAAGCAAAAGCAAAGAACAGTAGTCCTAACAGCAAATACTTCACCTGCCCTAATGGAATTTACACTGGTTGCCAGAAGACAGTTGCAGATTGTCCTTAGATGTGCTTCCAGAAAGCAAGGTCCAGCAATGCTTACACTCCTTAGATTCAAGAAATAAGAGAACTCCTGTGCTTTTACTAGTCCTGCTAGAAATGGCCCTGACAGGGTCCATGTCCACCAGTGTCACTGCAATAGGTAGCCAACAAGTTCAATGCAGCCAGCTCTCTACTTGGACCAAGAAACATTTAGCTATTTATTGTTCAGGAAAAATATAGTCACTCTTCAGAAATGACATAGGTTCATGGACAGCAACAATTCTCCAAAATCCTAGAATATTAGACTTGATCACCACTAAGACATTTTTAAGATGTTTACTTAGTTTTAAATGAGAAATTCTGTTTTTTAATACTAATCAGTCAGGAATATCACAAAATGCAGAAAGGTTATTTAAAATGATTAAAAAGGTACGAGCTAGAACCACTGGAGTACTTTGTCACCTATGTCTTTTTTTTTTTTTTTTTTTAGGGCTTTGTTGTTTGCTTTAACAGTAAATGTCATTTTTAACATGTGTAAAGTATTAGTAACAAATAGGAATAAAAGGTATAGTTGGAAAATATCTGCACCTGTAGTTTTATTAAATTAAAATTAAATCATAGTCATTGTATCAATGTACATTACCAATTATAGCAAGCAAGTGCCTGTTACTCCTTTGCTTGTGTGTTATCGGGTTTTTTTGTTTTGTTTTGTTTTGTTTTGTTTTTTGCTGAGGTTTGAGCTGTGCCAATTGTAGTTGTTTGTTTGTTTTTAACCCATTGAGGGCCTGCCACCCAGCTCCCAAATAAATACACAGATATATATTTTTGCTTATGAATGCCCAGCCTTAGCTTATCCTGTTTTCTTCTACATTTTGCCTCTGTGTTTTTTTACCTTTCTTTATCCTATATACCTTTTTGCCTTCTTTCTCTGTGGCTGGCTGGGAAACTGCCCCTGCTGTGCTCCTCTCCTTCTCCTTTCCTTGTTCCTCACTCTTATTTCGAGCCTAGATTTCTCCTCCTATTTGATCTCTCTGCCTCACAGATCCACCTGTCCTTTCTGGTGCCTAGCTACTGATCATCCAGCTCTTTAATAGACCAACCCAGTGTTCTAGACAGTAACAAATGCACCATAAAAAAATGCAACACATCTTTGCATCATTAAACAATATTCCTCAGCATAAATAAATATAACATATTTTAAACTAATATTCCACAACAGCCAATATAATTTTAAAGGGGTATCTCAGTATAGGGCTGTTTATTTGTTTGGTTGGGTTCTGGTAGCTTAGGTTAGCCTCAAACTCAATATATAGCAGAGAATCACCTTGAATCTTCCTGCCTCCATGTTTCAAGTGCTGGAATTACAGCATGCTCCACCATGCTTCACTCAGTATAAGTTTTAATTTTCATTTTACTTATTATAAAAATACAAGATCACACATTTTTAGAGTTTTTTTACTTATTGACTCATATCAGCCCTATATATACTTGGAAAAACTATATCTTTTGTGATATTTGTAAATATATACTTATTTTCCTTAAGTTTTATATACATTTTCAAATATTCACATGTAATAGATTTCATTTGCCTTTTGTGACTTTTAGATTGCATTTTTATTTGTAAATATTAATATTTATACACATTTATATTATATATATTTGAGACAGGATCTCACTGTGTGGCCTTGACTGACCTGGAACTCGATTTATAGACCAGGCCGGCCTTGAACTCACAGAGATAGACCTGTCCCTGCCTTCTCAGTGCTGATACTAATGGCATGTGCCACCACACACACTTAAGATTTCTTTTTTTGTTGTTTTGTTTTGTTTTTCGAGACAGGGTTTCTCTGTGTAGATTTGTAGACCAGGCCGGTCTCAAACTCACAGAGATCTGCCTGCTTCTGCCTCTCGAGTGCTGGGATTAAAGGTGTGCACCACCACTGCACAGCTTATATTTAAGACTTCTAACCATTGAAATTTTTGTTGAAACAAGGTGTTGTTAATCAATTCAAACCACCCTTGAATTTTCCTGTGTTGTTCCGCTAGCCTCCAATTCATAATCTCTAACACTAACTTTTTAAAGTTTTTTTGAGACAGGGTTTCTCTGTGTAGCCCTGGCTGTCCTGGAACTCACTCTGTAGAGCAGGCTGGCCTTGGACTCAAGGATCCACCTGCCTTTGCCTCCTGAAGTACTAGAATTAAAGGTGTGCACAACTATGCCCAGCTTCTAACACCAACTTTGTAATTGTATGTGTGCATGATGTAGGTGCACTAGTGTGATATGGCACACATGTGGAGGTCAGAATATAACTTTGTGCAATAGATATATGGTCTCCTCCAAGCTTTACTTGGGTTCCAGGGATTGAACTCAAGGCACCAGCTTTGTGCATCAAGTGCCATGAACTGCTGAGCAGTTCATCTCTCTTGCCCTGAAACACTGAATTTTTAAAACTAAGTTTCAACTCTCAATGGCTGTCTTTGATTTCCAAACATTTGCACACCTGCACTCACATGCACAGAACACAAAAGCATGAACATACATACCTTATTTTTCCCTTGTAAGATGTCTTTAAGAGATAAAACAGCAGTTGATTTTCAAATATTGCACAGTGCTTCTATGCATGTGATAAAATATGCATGATATAAAATGTGTTATTTTATAGTTTTTGTTATTTTGTTTTGGTTTGCATTTCAGGGGTAAGGTCTTGCTGTGTAGCTCAGACTGGTCTTGAATTCAATCACAATCTTCCTAATTAAATCTCCCAAGTGCTAGGATTATAGGCACAGTGCACATGCCTGGCTAAAGTTACCATCTGTGCAATCCTGATGATTGTTAAAACACAGTTCTGAATGTGTGACTTACCCTGGGTGTATTGTCAATAGCCCCAGAGCTCAAATGTAACAAAGCAGAGAGGAAGAAGCCCACTGTTAGAGGCATTCTCTGCCTCCTGGCTACAATGCGGAAGCAGCCTCTGCCATGAGCTCTTGCTGGATGATATTTTCCTTTACCTTGGCTGACCTTAAATGGAAAGGTCTGAAACTGGAAGCCAAAATAAACACTTGCCTCTTGTCTTTGTTTCCTCACATATTTTATCACAGCAATGAAACTACACTCACATTTAAGTGTGTGATTCCATAGCATTAAATGCTTTCCAATAGCTGTGCAGTTGTCACCTCTATTCATTTCCAGACCTTCTTCATCACCATGAGCAGAGACTCTGAACCCCTTCCATATCCATCCCTAACCCTTAGCAACATTCTCTTATTTATCTCTTTAACCGTTTTCAGTTAATAAGGAACATCAGCAAATTTAGGTTACTGGATCATGTGATTCATATAACAATGCTATGTTTCACATTTTCAGTAATCACCAAACTGTTTCTAAAGAGACTGCACTATTTTAAATTCCCATCATCAAAAGATAAGGGTTCCAATCTTTCTCTCCCTGCCCCTTCTTCCTATCCCCCTCACCTCCTCCTCCTCTTCCTCTTCTGGTTTTTCAAGGCACCATTTCTCTGTAGCTTTGGAGCTTGTTCTGGAACTTGATATATTATGTTATTAGATATTGTATTAACATGTTATTATATTTTATATATTTACATATTCTTTTTCATTTACATATTCTTAATGTTAATATTAATCCTTGATTGTTTATGGCATCCAAAATTTTTCTCAACAGTGCTTTTAGCTCTTGGGGCTTTCATTACTTTTGTGTACCTCAAAACAGACTAGTAGGATGTACACTGTTACAACTGTGTATATAAAACTAAGTCCAACCCAAAATAGCACACTGCTTGGCAACTAATACCGGCTCAAAACTTCTTAGACATTATCTGTGTTGGTATTGTTACTACTTCTAAGCTACGAAGAGCAAGTGGAACGGCTCCGGGACAGACGGGAGCGTAAAAAAACAGAAAGCCACAGTTTGTGAGCAGAACCAGAGATCACAATAGTGTATTTGCCATCAAGAGATGAATTTCCACTGTCTAGCCTAACACTCCATTAGATTGCAAAACATACAGCATCGCCAACCCCGCCCCGCCCCGCCCTGCCGCCTAGACCAATCCCAAAGCCACTTCCGGCCCGCCCCCTGCTAGCCGCCGCTAGTGTGCGCGTGCGCCTTGCCGGTGTTTTGCCTGCCATTAGTGGGCGAGGACCAACAACACCCTACTTCCGGCGCGGGGTAGAGAATAGACAGGCGCCGCGCTCAGCGATGATGTCAGCTCCGGTTGTATTGCTGAGTCGGAAGTGGGAAGCTTTTGGTCGCTGTGGCTTTGAGCTGTCGTCGTTGCTGCCCCTTCAGGCACTGGTAAGACAGAAGGTATCTTCAGGGGAGGAGAGTGTTGAGACTGCAAACGAGGTTTTCAACTAAGCAATTGCCATTGCAGGCCTCTGCACACTTGCAGTTCTCCAGTGCTTGCTTGACCTGGCTCCCTCTTCTTGAACTTCGACCCTGTTTGATCTGGAAACCCTTATGGTGCTCCAGCGTTGGGTATCTCTGCACATGTCTTTCTTCTTTGCCAAACCTGTGCTAGAAAAGGCCCGAGTGTTGGCAGTGACTGTCTTTTTACTTCTCTTATCTAGGAATTGCGCAGGGTGGGTGGGTCTCCCTCCTCACGAATCTCTTGCCAAACCCTAAGATAAAATATGAAGAGTGGACCACAGAAAGCCAAATGCGAAAGGGACGGAATGAAGCTCAAGTCATAGCAATCAAGCCAGTTGAGTGCATGTAGCAAGATGTTGATGTTTAAGGCGAGTAATGGACTCGTCACTATAACTCTTCTGGAATTCTGCTAGAGTGTTTCTTGGGTTCAGAAAACATTTATCAGATTGAGTGACCACAACTCAGAAGCTTTGTATTAGTGGTGTTCCCTTTAGGATCCGTTTTTGTCTCTTAAACGGAGAATGGGTTTTGTCTCGCTGTCATTGACTTTTTGATCCCAGAGAGAAGACTATAAAATAGGACCTAAGACAGAATGCTAGGGATTGGTAGAGTTCTGTGTGTTTGGCTTTTTTGATTCGTTGTTGTTATTTGTGGGGGGTTGTTTTGTTTTGTTTTTTGTGGGTTTTGGTTGGGGCGTGTCTCACTTCATGAGGTCCTTCTAGTTTGCAGATAAATGTTGCAGATTTTTGTGTCAATAGCATATATAACACTGAAGGTATTTCTAGGAAGAACATGTTAGCCAGGAAATATTTTTTAATTCCAAAATAGAAACTTTATGGAGTAAGATTTAATACAGCTTAATTTGGACTGGAGGTAGGGGTTTGCTGGAATTGGAACACAAGCCTGGTACATACTAAATACTCTAGCGCTGAACTATACCCCACCCCACCCAACCCTACCCATAGAGCTTTGTTTAAACAGTCTCCATTTTTCTGTGCTACTTTAAAACTGGATCAGACATGATTTTAAGATGTCTATGCTTACAGGAGCCAATAGTGGCCTTAAAGGATTAACAGTACTCTACATAAGTAAAATTTTAAATCAGGAGAGGATGAGAGAATTTTATGGGACCAATGATAGGCACTTCTTATAGATGTAGTCTTTTGCAGTAGGTATACAGAGTGAAATTTGCTATCAAGGAAGATTTATTAAAAACAAATAATCCAAAGGTTATGAAGGGCTGGTGGTGGCTGTGGGTGTGTTTCTGTATGGCAGCCGAAAACAAGAGGTTTGTTTATTACTGTTATTATTTCTTTTTTTAAAAGAATATTTTACTTTTACTTATGTGTACATGTGTGTTTCTGTATATGTGTATGCCACATGTGTGCAGATGCCCCCAGGAGTAGAGGATATTGGATCCCCAAGAACTGGGGTTATAGGAAGTGAGCTGCCCAACATGGGTTCTGGAAACTGAACTCTTGGTTCTGTAGAAGAGCAACCAGTGCTCTTAACTGCTGAGCCATTTCTCTGGGCTTTTGTTTCTTTCTTGGAAAATTTTGTTTGTTTTTGTTTTTTTGTTTTTATGAATGTTTATAAGAGTGTGTGGATACCTACACAGACCAGAAGGAGGTGTTAGATCCCTTGGAGTTGTAGTTGTAGACATCTATAAGCTACCCTGTTAGGGGTACTGAGGCCCAGACCCTAGACCTCTCCTAAATGAGCCATCTCTTCACCCCCTTATTTATTTCTGAGTCAAGGTCTCACTGTGTAGCCTAGACTGGCCTTGATTTCAAGATCCTCTCGCTTCCGCTTCCCAAGTGCAAGGATCATAGGTGTGTACCACTATACTCAAACTGAGACATTTAAAATAGGTAAAGTGAGTATTAAAGCAAACAGAACGCCAAGGCCCCATTTTATGAGACCTTTCTTTTCTTTCTAGGTATTTTTATTTACATATGTAAGCTCAGTGACTATATCTAAACTGGAATCTCCACAGAGGTTCTCATCAGGTGCTCAGTCCTCCTTTATCCTGTAAGTCATTACACCATTTAGCCTTGTTTCTAGAGAAAGAAATTCTCTGCACCAATTTTAAGTAATTATGAAAAAGATGAATTTAGTAGGGTAGGCTAAACCTTTTGTTGTTGTTATTTTACCATTTGTTCTAGTCTTCTTTCTGTTGTTCTTACAAAACACTGACCAAAAGCAACTGAAAGGAAGAAAAGGGTCATTTGTACACTTCTAGTCATGGTCCATCATTAGAGGGAAGTCAGGGTGAGAATTCAAGTAAGGCCTTGACACAGAAGCTATGGAGGAAAGCTGCTTGCTAGCTGATGTTTAGCTAGCTTTTTTATACATCCCACACCTGCCTCTTCAGGAAATGATGCCCTCCTGTATCAATTAACAATCAAGACAATCCCCCAAAGAAATGTTCACAGGCCTGTCTGATCTGGGCAATCCCTCAATCAAGGCTTTCCTCTCATATGATGCTAGACTGTGTCAAGTCGACAGTTAAAACTAAATAGGACAGCATTTGAGGTGACAACAGACTTGTTTTTATTCTCTGTTCTACACATGCTTAGGTACCACAGAGCCACAGCATCTGGACTGGCAGCTTGACATACTGCTGCATCTCAAGACAAGTAGGAAATTCTGTACCTTGAAGTAGAGTTTGAGTAATGCTATGATTTCAAGGCTCAGGAGTAGCTACTTGGAAGATTGGGCCATCTGTTGAATATTTGCTTAGACTTTGTGGTTTTGAAGAATAATGTCAGCCACAGAAGAAAGAATAATCTGATATCAACTTGTACTCAAAGGTCTTAGAGTTTAGCAAGGCAGATCCGCATAAGAGTGCAATGTTGAAGTTTTTAAATCCCAATATAAACAGGGATAGGACAAAATAGAAAGTTAGCTTCTTTGTATAAGGGAAGAGTATAGTATTAAGAAGGAAGTATGTGGATTTGTGGTGCTAAACTCCCTTTCTTGATAGCCTTGAGAACCTGTGTCCTATGTTCTGTATTGTTGACTTTCAGCTTCCTTTTTACATATGTGATGCAGGTTGTTGTTTCCTGTCTAATGATCTGAACCCTTCAGTGATACACACACACACACACACACACACACACACACACACAGAGAGAGAGAGAGAGAGAGAGAGAGAGAGAGAGAGAGAGAGAGAGAGAGAGTTTGGTGTATCTTTGTAACAGCCCTGGCTGTCCTGGAGCTCTCTTTGTAGATCAGACCAGCCTGGCCTCAGACACAGAGATCCGCCTGCCTCTGCTTCCCAAGTGCTGAGATTAAAGGTGTGTGCCAGCTCTTCAATTATATTTAAAAAAAAAAAAAAAAAAAAGTTATTCAAGCCAGGAATGGTAATGCATGCCTCTAGTCTTAGCACTTAGGAACTGAGACAAAAGAATCACTATAAGTTCAAGGCCAGCCTGGACTACACAGAGGGACCCTACTTCAGTAACAACAGTTAAGACCTAGAGATGTTTTAGGGTAAGAGCTATTAATGCCCAAGCATGAGGACCTGCGTTTAAATCCTCAGTACCCACATAAAGAGCTAGATGTGTCCACATGTACACACTGTAACCTCAGCACTATGGGGAGTGGAGACAGGAGACTTGGTAGCACTTGCTGGCTGTCATTGAAGCCCCAGGTTCAGTTAGTTCCAATGAATAAGGAGAATGAAGCAGGAACCACAACATGCTCCATTGGCCTCCATACAATATATATACATACCCATATACATTCCATACACCTGTATCACACACACATACATACACACTTAAAACTGGCTTATACAGTTGTGAAATCTGCCTGCATACATGTATGCCACACATAGACACATGCACTTAGTTCAAACTGGCCTATGCAATTGGTTCGCTTCTATAGCTGAAAAGTCTGGAAAGTTCTGTTTTCCTGTATGGTAGCTTAATTTGGGGGTAGTCATTTTTTAGATAGTTAATAAAAGGTGGCAACTCTAGGCTTGTGTTTTACTAGCCTAGCAATCCAAGAAGAAAGAGCTCCTTTCTCAGTAGGTTCAGCCAAAACTCCAAAGACAATGTTCACTGATTCTTATAAGCCTTGATAGGTCTTTTACCCATTCTTGGATCAGGCACTTTGTTCTCTGTGCCCCTTCCTGGAGCTGGTAGATGGGATCAATGCGTCTGGACATATGTCTTGAATGGAACTGATACTCAGGTTAAAAACCAAAGCAGTCACATTGAGAAAAAAAGATGGTAATATTCCGGAGACAAAGTAACAAGAGTTCACTATGCTTTTTGCCATCTTTTAGGGTCTAGGATACCTTGGGGTAGAAAGACGGTGGTAGTGAGCCAACAATGAGACAGTTCAGGATGGCATCACATGAATTAGAGATGAACTAAGCTCATCCAGTGGTTACATAGGAGAAAGTCCTCTCAAGGACTGTTAATTCCAACATAAAATACGATTTATTTTATTAAGTTCAACTAAATATACACGGGAGCCGGGGGAGGGGGGGAGCAAAGCAGCATCGAGGAGTTCATTTTCTTGGAGTAGAAAAGCCCTGCACCATCCTGAAAAGCAGTGGAGACTGGCTGAGTGTCACTATGTCTAATTAGCTTTTAGCTCTGATGCAGGAAAATAGCAAAGGTCCTAAAGCAACTGATGGAAATATCAAGAAGTGATATAAGTCTTCCTCCAGCAATTGAGGTTAATTTCTCCTGTTTGTATTAACTTTTGTTAATATGATTTTGTAAGGAGCCTTACTTCCCTGAACTGAAGGTTAAGCTAAGTGTGGTGGTTTGTTCCTATAATCTCAACACTGGGTGAGGGTGGGGGGGGTGATGACACACTACTGTAACAAGAGTATTGGGACTTCTATGGTGATGCACTCCTGTAGTTCTTAGTACTTAGGAGGCAGAGGCAGGAGGAGCATACGTTTGAAGCTAGCCATCAAGTTCCAGGGAAGCTTCAGCTTCATAGTGAGGCCCTGTCTCAAACCACAAACTAATTAACTAATTAACTAAAGGTAGATCAAGTGTTCTTCCTCCTCCCGACCCTGTCCCCTCATCGTAGAGGTATTATATCTATTTTATATTAGACAGTCTATCTGACAGTTAAATTTGTTTTATGAAAGTTAAAAAATTAGATAAGCAATTAAAAAAAGTATAGAATCAAAAAAGACTAGTCAGGCATGATGAATGCCAGTAACCCCAGCAGTCTAAAGGATGAAGCAGGAGGATCTTGAGTTCAAGGCAAGCCTAGGCTATATAATGAGGTCCTATCTGATTTTAATAGAAAAGAAGAAAGACATCGAAGAAGAATATTGAAATTTTAGTTGAAAAAGGATTGATTTGTTATTTATTTATGTCACTAACTAGCTATTTATTTATTTTATGTGTGTGGAGTGCCTTGCCTGCACATACGTCTGTGTACTATGTGCATGCCTGGTGACTAGAGGCCAGAAGAGGGCTTTAGGTGCCCTGGGATTGGAGTTACAGACAGTAGTGAGCTGCCATGTGACTGGGAACCTAAGTCTTCTGGAAGAGCAGCTGGCACTCCTAATAGATGAGCCATCTCTCCAGCTCCAGATCTGTATTTTTAAACCTAGGAGTAGAATTTATACATGAGAGACCTACAAACATAGCTAACCTGATTCTGGCCTTGATTCAGCATTCCAAATCTGAGTATCAAGCCAGGCATGGTGGTGTATGCTTGTAATCCTAGCACTCAGGTGTATGCAGAAGGATTAGGAGTTCAAGGTCTTCCTCGGCTACATAGTGAATTTCTCTCTCTCTTTCTCTCTCTCTCTTTCTCTCTCTCTCTCTCACACACACAACACACACACACACACACACCCCACATGTAATAGGAAAACCTGCCTTTTAGTAAAAGAAGAAGAAATCTGAGTTCCTGTGTAACTAAGGAATTCCCAGCTTCGGCCCTGAGTTGTAGTGGTCTGGACAGGTACCACCTTGTCCTTTGCATGTGAATGAAAACTAGTCTGCCAGCTTAAAAATAATTCTTTGGGTATGTCTCAGTGCTATAGTTACAGTTAATGGGGAACTGCAGTCACTGACTGTTAAGCCTTTTGAGTTTTAGCTGTGCCCAGTTAGTAGGTTTGTAACTATCTTGCCAAATGCATCTTCAGTTTGGGAACAGGCATTTGCAGGTCTTGCTCCAAAGCATTTTCAAATGCACAGTGCTAAAGAAATGGGGAAAGAAACAGTAATGGGTATACTACAGCAATTGTGTTATCTGCCCTTCTGAGTCTAATTCCTGTCCTTTGCATAGCCCTTCCCCCTAGGGCTGGATGGAGGATACCTTAAAGTGAAATGACAGACCAGGAGAATAACAACAACATCTCAAGTAACCCCTTTGCTGCTCTTTTTGGCTCCCTGGCTGATGCCAAGCAGTTTGCAGCAATCCAAAAAGAGCAGCTGAAGCAGCAATCTGGTAAGTAGAGGAGCCAATAGCAGCAGATGCCACGACCTAGAACCGGGTCTTCCCAGAGGAAGGATTCTTTAGGAAATTAACTGCAATTAGAACTTACGTTTGGGGCAGAAGTTGTTTTGCTTTTATTTTCTGTCGGTCTATCTGTCTGTCTGTCAGCAAAAGTTGGTTTGTTGTTTGTTTTCATGGCTTGTTTTGTTTGAGGGACCTTCCCCTGTGCTTTCCTCTTACTCACATAAAAAGAGATTGGCTAACAGGTGGATCCTCAGGGGTGGATGATAGCTGTGGTTCCAAACTGTCAAGTTGTTTCATTAAAGGGGAAAAAATTGTCTACTAGTATCTTTTTAATATAGGAAACCAGGTGTGGCTAGCAAGCTGCATGCAGTTGTAGAAACCAGATATAAGAGAATCATAAAAGCTTTCCGATCTTTTGACAAAAAAAAAAAAAAAAAAAAAAAAAAAAGAGTTGTTCAGAAGGCAGCCCTTCATAAGACCTCTCAGGTAAAGTTTATTTTTTGTCCTTCTGAGTGGTCCCTCTGTAGCTCACTGCTGTTAGCTGACAGACTGCTAAGAATCTAATCCTTAGCTTTAATATGAAAAAAGAAAAAACAGAGTTTAGAGTAATCTCTCAATAGCCAGAAAATGGCTTTCCTTATTTGGAACTGAAGTTAAGATTGAGGGCATCTTCTTTCTATCTAGAGACAGACCAGAGGGGTTAGGATATATTTTTAAAACACATTGTCCCCTGGGAGAGTCATAATCATTCAAACTAGAAATGATCCCCCCTTCCCAGAAATAGTGGGATTTTCTTGTGATAAAAGGAAAAATGGTCTACATTTTCCTTTCATTTATTTAAAAAGCATATAATACTGGTTGGGGTGCGATGCTGAGTTTGACCTTGCTTTACCGTTAGGGTTGACTAGCAGGAGGGAAAAGAAACAGACGGGAAGAAGAGGTAGATGAAACTAGAGAAAATAAGTGGAAGGCTTTTTAACTGGCTGTACACAGGCTTCAGGCTGGAGCTGAGAGCTTATGAGCAGCAGCACGCTGTGGGAATGAGGCTAGAGCATGCCCTTCTGGCACTGTCTTGGTAGCTCATTACCTTAGTTGTCTACACTGAGTTCCTCATGCCACCAGGTCCAACCTGTTTGTCACCAGCAATTAATATGCCAGAACCTACAGGTTTGCTAAACTCAACAAGGAAGCATCTCTTACTTCTGAGAGTTTGGTCCTGGTTTTTTAGAATACCACTTTGTCGAGAAAGAGAAGTTCACTGGGTGGTTGGCACACACCTTAATCCCAGCACTCGGGAGGCAGAGGCAGGAGGATCTCTGTGAGTTTGAGGCCAACCTGATCTACAGAGCTAATTCCAGGATAGCCAAGACTACACAGAGAAACCCTATCTCAAAAAACAAAAAAAAGAAAAAAGAAGTTGTCCACCCTTGTAGTTTCTAGTGCCTAGTGCCACTTTTATAGGGGCATTCCTGTGAATGTTATTCTGAGAGGCAATCTTTGAGTTGCTCTATAAAATGTTAAAGGAATCCATTTGATAAAGGGAAAAAAAAGGTAGGAAAAACTTGCTCTATAAAATGTTAAAGGAATCCAGTTGATAAGGGGAAAAAAGGGTAGGAAAAACTAGAAGACAAGATGTGACAGCAATTTAAATATCAAATGATGAAAATTCCAGTCTCAATAACCTATAGGAAAATGCCCATTACAACTACAATTAGGGCCTGTCGAGATGGCTCAGTGGCTAAAGGCACCTGTTTCCAAGCTTGATGTCCTGAGTTCAGTCCCTTGGAAAAAAAGAAGACTCCAACAAGCTGTCCTCTGACCTTGCATGTGCTCTGTAGCAAGTATGCAGCCAGCCACACATACACACTCTAAAGAAACGTAATAAAAAAATTAAACAATTCTATTTTTGTTTGTTTGTTTAAAATTCATTCTCATCTTTATTTTTGGTCATGAACATGTTTTTAACAGTCTTTGTTTATGTGAGTAGCTATAACATCAAAAGCAATGCAATTTAAAAAAAAAATACAGTCCTTTTAGAAAATTCCTCAATGTTCACTTCACTTTAAATAATTGTAAATAGCTGGTTGGAACAGTGTGTTTCCACATGCACTGACAGTTATAATCAAGGTGTGTATACAGAAACACATTGTCATACATACACAACAATAATAAGTAGTTTTTTAAAGCCTACAACAGTGCTACCAGCACCTAGGACTTGAAAAACAAAATCTCTTCATACACATAGGATATGAAGTATCCACCTAGGAGAACACATATAGCAGGATTAGAGAAGTACTTAGAGTATGTGATAGTGGCATTTTCCTTAAATTAAGTAACTTGAGCATTTAGTGTGTGATAACTGTTTTACCACCTCACATTAGCTGGTCCTCTGTGGCAGAACATTTTCTATAGAGCAGATGGCAGGTGCTCAAACATGTTGGCAAGTTGCTCAGATTGTGTGGTACACTTACTGAGTAGACCCATGTGTGAGTATATGATCTCAGGGTCCAGTAAAGAAACATCCGTTTGACTTGACATAGTTCACAGAACTGTCTCCCTAAAGGAAGTTTGCATATGTCTGGTGGATGTTGAATTGATGGCATGATGTTAAAAATTGGCCCAAAAAGACCCAGCACCCAAGGCTCCCAAAATAGAATGTTAAAACGTCTCCACTGGAGGGGTTTCACTGAATCATGCCTGAGTGGCCAAAGTGGACTCCCTAAAGTTAAAGAAATGCAAGGAGTGTCAGGAATCATGTGAACTTTTAGCTTTCCTCAAATGAAACAGTGAATGTTACAGAGGAGGCATGCGTGATCTATGAAGTTAACTTAAAAGTCCAGAAGCAAAAGAACAAGATTCTTTTCAACTGTTAATAGAGCTGTCTAAAGTTTACAGTTGAGGCTTGCTTCTACCTGCTCGTGGATACCTCTTCAATCACATCCCCTTTTATATCATGAGTCCACACTTTCTGTGGCCCAGTGGCATCTATTGCCACATCAATGACAGAATCAGGAGTCATCCATCTCAGGAACACGAGGAAGAGGTAGCTGAACACAGCCAGCAAAGCAAAACTATAGCCTGTAAGTGGGCCGCAGTGAGAGGTGAGCCTAGTCAGCCTCTCATGCATTGGCAACACCATTTCCTTCGCCACCCTCTCATACACCTTCTCAGTTCTCTCTGCCACATTCCGCCAGGTGTAGAAAGCCTTTACTACGCTGTGGATCTTTTCTGCATCTGGTAACATCCCTGACTTCACTTGGAAAATAGCTTTTTCCAGCCCTTCACACAAAGATTTTACCGAAGGTTCACATAAAATAATAAGATTGTCTGGAAGGACTTCAGGAATCCCACCAACCTTGGTGCTGACGACCTGCAGACCACAGCTGGCAGCTTCCAGGATTGCCATGCAGAAGGCTTCGGTCAGGGAGGTATTAAGAAAAATACGTCCTTGAATTAAGACATTTCTGACATCCTTGTGTTCTAAAGCTCCCAAAAGATGCACCCTGTCATGTAGTTGGTATCTTTCCCGTACTTCTTCCAAAACAATACTCTTTGGTCCCTCTCCACCAATTAGGAAGTTTAACTCGGGATATTTCTGACAGAGTTCAGGTATTATACCACTGAGCAGATCAATCCCTTTTCTGTAAACAAGTCTGCTCACTACAACAATAGTTATTGCACTGTCATGCCTCCTCAATGGTCCAGGGGTGAAGTCAGTAGGGTCTACAGCATTAGGAATGACTGACACTCTTTCAGGATTCAGTGCTGCTCGTAGTACAGTGTTTTCCTTACTTGTATGAGAGACACAAATTATGTGGTTTGTGTCACAGAGAGACACAGTTAGAAGCTTGTTTGTGAGCACAGAGCTGACATCAGCAAATCCAAAAAGGGAATGGTCGGTGAAGACTGTCTGAAGCCCCATTGTCTTGGCATGGAAGAGAGCATCATGGGCCATGGCAGAAAAAGAACTGTGGGAATGAATTATGGTAACTCTCTCCCGAACAAATATGTACCTGAGCAATGGCAGACTGTGAAAGAGAGTTGTGGCTGTAGATTGGTTGTACATGACTCTGAGAGGCAAATAATAAACTTTGAGGCCATTGGTGAGATAACGGATGCCCTTTCGATTTCCATAAGCATGGGTGACAACTATGACCTTGTGCCCCCTCTCGATGAGGCACTGAGAAAGCTGGTAAATGTGACTTTCCACACCTCCTGTGTTTGGGTAGAAAAAGTCAGACACCATGCATATTTTATGTGCACGGGTGCTATCGGTGGAAAGATTTGGAGGGCTAAACTGGGAAGGCCTCACTGAAGGGGGCTGGCCTTGCTCACTTCCTCCTCGATAGGCCATGCTGAGTTGGTTCACAGATTCACTTCTCTGTGCAACCCAGTTAAGAAGTATGTCTTCTGTCACCTGAAGTTCATACTGTAATCATTTTTCTCCTTATTGAAGGGTAGTAATGCTCAAATAGTTCCCTTCACTTTTTTTTTCTTGACCTTTTTTGTTATGTAGCCCTTTCCTTCATGAGTTCATGCGTGCCTTCTTTTTGGTGTAGATCCCTCTATTTCCATGCTGCCTCTGTAATTAAATCAAATTTGATTAAAATTAAGAGACATTTTTTTCATATTCCTAGAGCTAGTTGTACAGATAAAAGCAATCTCTTTGAGAATAACTTCTGTTAACTTTTAAAATACTTAAGCTCTTTTTAAAATTCTGTATTACATTCATTTAGTGTGTGTGTGTGTGTGTGTACATATGTGTTGGTCAGTGGATAACTTGTGTGTTCAGTCCTCTCCTTCCACCATGTAGGTTCCAAGGATTGGTCTCAGGGCACCAAGCTTGGCAGCAAGTGCCTTTATGTGCTGAGCAACCTCACCCTCCCTAAAGTTCCCAAGCTGTTTGAGCCAGCAATTCTACTTCCGAGATTTTTGTTGTTGTTTTGTTTTGTTTTCAAGACAGGGTTTCTCTGTGTAGCTTTGTAGACCAGGCTAGCCTCAAACTCACAGAGATCTGTCTGCTTCTACCTCCCGAGTGCTGGGATTAAAGGTGTGCACCAACAATGCCCAGCTTACTTCTGAGATTTTTGTCTTATGAAATACTCACCCACGTGAACAAAAACAATCAGATTACATTCAGTGCTGTATTACTTAAGATCATGAAACCCTGGAACAGTTCTCATGTTCATTTGATGAATAAACATGGAGTTTAAGTGACTACATAAGTCGTAGTAAAGGCAAAAAAGTATATTACAATGCAGCTATTAAAAGGAATGAGATGGGCTGGGCCTGCTAGTGCAGGTTTATAATCCCAGCTGCTCCAGAGGCTAAAGCAGGAGGATCAGGAGTTTAAGTTATCTTTCTTACATAGTTAGTTAAAGGCTAGCCTGAGCAATATAAGACACTGTATCAAAAACAAAAACAAAAAAATAGAGCTGGGGATGTAGTTCAGTTGGTAAAAATGCTTGCCTAGCAAGCATAAAACCCTGAGTTTAATGCCTTGTACCACATAAAAGCAGGTGTCGTGTGCGTCCCTTTAATTCTAGTAATTTGGCTGTGGAGACAAGAGGATTAGAAGTTCGCCTGGTGGTGGTAGTGCATGCCTTTAATCCCAGCACTCAGGAGGCAGAGGCAGGTGGATCTCTGTGAGTTCAAGACCAGCCTGGTCTACAAGAACTAGTTCCAAGACAGCCTTCAAAACCACAGAGAAACCCTGTCTCGAAAAACCAAAAAAAAAAAAAAAAAAAGGATTAGAAGTTCAAGATCATCCTCGTGGTGGGGAGGGGATTACACTTGTTTCAAAAAACACAAAGACTTAATAAATGGAATTAAGAAGGTCTCTGAATGACTAACAGCAAATAATGCTGGTGTTGATAAATTAACAGGCCTGTTGAAGGGCTGGAGAGGTGGCTTAGCAGCTAAAGAGCATGTGATGCTCTTGCAAAGGACCTGGGTTTGGAGTTCAGCATCCACATGGTGGCTTATAACCATCAGTAACTCCAGTTCCAGTTCAAAGCCCTCTTCTGACCTCTACAGCCATAAGGAGGCTCTCTCTCTCTCCCTCTCCCTCTCTTTCTCTCTCTTTCAGGCAAAACACCTATACAAATAAAAATAATTTTTTAAAAGCCAGTTGAGAAGCTAGACAGAAGATCAGGTGGTTAAGAGTACTGGTTGGCTCCTCTTCCAGAGGTCCTAGGTTCAATTCCTAGTACCCACATGGCAACTCACAGCCCTTTATAACTAGTACCATGGAATCTGATGCCCTGTTCTGGTGTGCAAACATACATATAGAAAAAACACTATGTGTGTGTGTCTGTGTCTGTGTGTATGTACATATACATACATACATGCATGCATGCATACATATATACATACATTCTTTAAAACCAGTTGAGGGCCTGGTAAGATAGCTCAGTGTGTAAAGGCACTTGCTTCCAGTCCTGATGACCTGAGTTCAATCCTTGGAACCCACATGGTGGAAGGAGAAAAAAGGACTCCCCCCAAGTTGTTCTCTGATCTCCAAAAGCATGTCATGACACATTAACATAAAAATGTTTTAAAGTATGGTCCAGATCTGTAATTAAACAACAACTAAAACATTAGAGAGATGGCCCAGCATGCACATTCCCACACAGAATGCATCATTAAAAATGCATCAGGGCTGGAGAGGTGGCTCAGTGGTTAAGAGCACTGACTGCTCTTCCAGAGGACCTGGGTTCAATTTCCAGCACCCACATGACAGCTAACAACTGTAACTCCAGCCCTCACACAGACATACATGCAAATAAAAATAAATGTTTTAAATGCATCTTTTTAAAAAAAATTATCCTGGTGAGATGCCTCAGCAGGTGAAGGTGCTTGCCACCTAGTCTGATGACCTAAGTTCAGTTCCCAAGACCCATATAGAAAGAGGAGAAAATGGGTTGCTACAGGCTGTCCTCTGACCTCCAGGTAAACACGGACACACATTCCCCACACACAAAAGTAAATGTCAAAGAAACAAGGAAAGCACAATTTTAAAATAAAAAACAATGGCAATGAACATTAGCACAGGAGTCTGGAGCACTGAAGAATTAAGCAGCTACCTATAGGATACTGATTTGAGGAACCTTGCTACAAGACATATTCCTGAGTGTTAAATTACCAAAACAAATCTATTCTCCAGGGAAAGGCCATACATTTAAAATCATTAAATCATAAAATCATTTATCTATTTGCTAATTATTTTTTTTTCTCTAAGAAAGTTAATGTTGGTAATTTTGGTAGGGTGGGTACAACTCTGGGTAGAAGTAATAAAGCTTACTGTATAGAAGGCGAGGTTTATAGCCAGAATTTCAGAATTCTACGATTTCACTTGCTCACTAATAAGATGAATAATTTGTTTCACCTGCAATTGCCTTCCTAGTAGTTAGCATCCAAACATTCTAGATAGTATGTTTTATTCTAAGGAAGGATCATGCTGTGTAATGGCTTACATGTTCTGGCAGATGAGCTCCCAGCAAGCCCAGATGACTCGGATAATAGTGTGTCAGAGAGCCTGGACGAATTTGACTACTCTGTGTCTGAGATTAGCCGCTCCTTCAGGTCACAGCAAGAAATATGTGAGCAACTCAACATCAATCACATGATCCAAAGGATCTTCCTCATTACTCTGGACAACAGTGAGTTGCAGACTTCCTCTTGGCTTGGTCTAGGGACTGCTTTGACTCTTAGAAAACTGCTATTTTTAAGGCTTAAAACCACCCCTAGAGCACAGGATTTATCTTAGTAAGCTTTTTAATTGCCTGAAAACAATATTTCAGCCAGGAGGTGGTGGCACACAGCTTTACTCCAACACTGGGGAGATAGAAACAGGAGGATCTGTGAGTTCAAAGCCAGCTTGGTCTACAGAGTGAGTTCCAGGACAGCCAGGACTCAGGGAAACCCTGTCTAGAAAAACAAACAGTATTTCTACAGATCTAACTTTCTGTGCCATGTTAGTGCTGACTGGGCTGTGTGACTACTTTTCTGTACTACCTTTAAAAGAAAGTAGAAAGAGTAGCTAACCCCATTTCCTTCTTCCACCTATGCTGAGAGGTTCAGAGGTGTTTTAACTCTGTGCCCTATCTGTAATTCAATCCTATGGTTAATGCTGGTATCTAGAATTTCTTCCTAAATGTCATACTGAGGGTCCATAACAGTCCATGTTCTTTAATTACTTTGTGTATCAAGATCACAGGTATTCTTGAATTCAAGAGACTTGCTATCAAGATCAGTTGTTGGAAGCTGAGCACAGTAGTGCATGCCTTTAGTCTCCAATACTGGGGAGGCTGAGGCAGGAGGGACCACTTGAGCCTAGGAGTTAAGACCAACATAGGCAACATAGCAAGACCCTGTCTCAAAAAAAGCAAGGCAAAACAAAAGCAGTGTCATGAGGACAGGAACATTATCCTTAACCTATCAAATTAAAACTATTTCACAGGTGATCCAAACTTGAAAAGCGAGAATGGCATCCCCAGCCGTTGTGTGTATTTGGAAGAAATGGCAGTAGAGTTGGAAGATCAAGACTGGCTGGACATGAGCAATGTTGAGCAGGTACTGTTCCTGACGATGGACCCTCATCAAACCATAGCCATGCAGCTAAATCCTTTCCATTCTCCAGACTCTGCTGCTTGCTTCCGCCTCTCCATTGTATATGGTATTCCTCACTGGCCACACATCCAAATCCACCCATTGGTTAAGAACCAGTTAAAATGCCACCGAAGTTGCCAGAAAAGAATTGCCCTCCTCTGAGTTCTTTATCCTATCCATTTCTTATGGGAACTGTCACTGTCTCATGGCTTTTTATTCAACCTGTCTTATCATTCTTATTAGACTCTAAGTTCCTAAGACAAGGCCAATCTCTTCCTTACATACTTACAAAAAAATCAAAATCAGGCTGAGGAGATGACTCACAAGCAAGTTTGGCTCCCCAGCACCCACATGAAGCTAACTGTGGCTATGTGGGACTGTCCCCTCAGTGTCACAAATGAGAGGGAGTAGAGAGAAGAGGGTTTCTGGGGACTTGTCCATCCAGCCTAGCTGAAAAATAGTGAGCTCCAGGTTTACTCAGCTCAGAGGAATGAGGTAGAGAGTGATGGACCAGGTTATCCACTGTCCTCTGACCTCATTCCAGACCTCAGGAGATCAAGTACAGAAAGCCGTCATCCATTGGGTAGAACTGTTTCCCAGGGTATCAGAGCCCACAGTAAGTGTACTGTGCCTTTGAAAACTGATTTACAGTTGGGCATGGTGGCAGATACTTTTAATCCCAACATTGGAATTCAGAGGCAGGCAGAGCTCTGTGAATTCAAGGCCAGCCTGATCTATATAATGAGTTCCAGGGCAGCCAGGCTATTAGGAGAAGCCCTATTTCAAAAAACAAAATAATCCAGGACAGGCTCCAAAGCTACACAGAGAAATCCTGTCTCAAAAAACAAAAGGAACCTAGAGAGATGGTTCAGCTGTTATGAGCATATACAGCTCTTACAGAGGACCCAAGTTCAGTTCCTAGCACCTATATGGCTCACAGCTGCCTGTAACTCCAGTTCCAAGGAGAACCAATGCCTCTAACTACCATGAACACCTTCAGTCATGTGCACATACCCACACAAACACACAATACATACACATAATTAAAAATAATAATGTTTGGGCTGGAGAGATGTATATAAAAATAATATTTTAAAAACTTGAGTGGTCTGCAAAGCCACACAGAAAAGCCTCTCAAAAAAACAACAACAAAAAAAAAAAAAAACAAAAAAAAAACAAAAAACTTGAGACAAGAGACTGATAACTTGGCATTTAACTCATTTAAAGTATCTCTAAGCCTAGTAATCACACAGAAAAGTAGATTTCACATATTCATCATTGATTCTTAATACCATCCAACAAGTGACTTTTTGTTTGTAACTGTCACAGAATTTGAGACTTACTTTACAGTAACTATGTATGTAATTAATAGCTACATTTCTAAATTTATTGTGAACTACATCTGATTCTCAAAAGCATGTATCAAACTTTAGATCTTAGTGGTCTAGAATTTACCTTGCAGTAGATTATTGTTCTGTTTATTTTTGTTAATAGGCCATCTTTGCTCGGTTATTGCTTCAAGATCCAGGAAACCACTTGATCAGCATGACTTCTTCTACAACGTTAAATCTCTCTGCTGATCGAGATGCTGGGGAGAGGCACATCTTTTGTTACCTTTACTCCTGCTTCCAGAGAGCCAAGGAAGAGGTAAAGGAATTTAGATTGTCCTTTTGACTTTAGCATGTAAGAGTTGCGTCAGTGTAATATATATGTATATTATGGTATATCTGGAACTGAGTATTTGTAGGACTATGACATTGCCATAAAGCCTTAGTCTCCTTTCTGTGGCTTAGGGTTCATCTCTCTTGCTAGTTAACCAATGCCCCTATTCTCTATATATACCTCTCTAGAAATCACACCCTTTAAAAAAAAACAAAGACTAAGTACCAGATCAGTCAAGTGAGGTAGCACATGCCTGTAATTTCAGCATTCATAAGAGACAGTCATGAAGATTGCTACAAATTCAGAGCCAGCCTATCCTACATAGTGAGACCAAAATAAAACAACACAGGCCAAGCAAAACCCAAATCTGCTAACATCATTTCCAGTGAGGTGGTAATACTGAATTGGTCTAAACTTGACATTTTCAGAATTAGAATTTTAGCAAGTGGCCTTTTAAGCCAAAGAAAAAGTCTGTTATGAATTTTAAGTCCCCAAGAAATCAATATTGCCAGGCAGTGGTGGTGCACACCTTTAATCCCAGGCAGAGCCCGGTGGGTCTCTGAGTTTGATGCAACCTGGTTTACAGAGCAAGTTCCAGGACAGCCAGGAGTATACAGAGAAACCCTATCTCAAAAAACTGCCATGTGGTGGTGGTGGTGGTGGTGGTGGTGGCGGCGGCGGCGGCGGCGGCGGCGGCGCACGCCTTTTATCCCAGGACTCTGGAGGCAGAGGCAAACAGATCTCTATGAGTTCAAGGACAGCCCAGTCTACAGAGTGGGTGCCAGGACAGGCTCCAAATGCTACACAGAGATATTGGGGAAAAAAAAAGAAAAGAAAACAATAGTGTTTGAGAAAGTGGTATGTTTTCATCCTATTTACTGTACCCATCCTTGCTGCATGTTATAGAAAACTGTATGCTTCTCTCTCTTTGTTGTAGATTACCAAAGTTCCAGAAAACCTGCTCCCCTTTGCAGTGCAATGCAGGAACCTCACTGTGTCCAACACTCGAACAGTTCTCCTTACCCCAGAGATCTATGTTGACCAAAACATCCATGAGCAACTGGTAGATTTGATGTTAGAAGCCATTCAGGGAGCCCGTGAGTATAGAAGCAAGGCCTTTAAATATCTACATTTAGAATACCAATTTAAAATTCTTCTGATTTTAGAAAGTCATGATTTAGAGAACTATTATGATTCTGATAGAAATTTAGGAAGACAGCTTACACCTTGATCTTTTGGCCTCAATACCTCAAAAATATAATAGAGGGACTATAGAGATGGCTCAAAAGTTAAGAGATGGCTCAAAAGTTAGGAGCACTTCTAGCTGCTTTTCCAGAGGATCCTGGTTCAATTCTCAGCACCCACATGGTGGCTTACTATTATGTGACTCCAGTTCCAGGCAGATCCACTGCCCCCTTCTGGCCTCCACGGGCACTGCATGCACTTGATACACAGGCATACATGCAGGCAAAACACCCACACACATAAATAAAAGTAGGTAGATCATAAAGAGCCAATGTTTGCAAGTGGGTATATAGCTCATTAGTCAAGCACTAATGAACAGTTGCCTGGCATTCATCAGTCTTTGGTTCAATTCTTACATCACAACAGATAGACACAGACAGACAGACCATGAAACAATATATAAAGACAAAAATTGACATGGCCTCCTTCCTTTCTCATTTGTCTCCTATTAGATTTTGAAGATGTAACTGAGTTTTTAGAAGAGGTCATCGAAGCCTTGCTGTTGGATGAGGAAGTTCGAACATTTCCTGAAGTCATGATTCCAGTGTTTGATATTTTACTAGGCCGAATAAAAGATCTGGAGCTCTGCCAGATCCTACTGTATGCATATCTGGATATTATTCTCTACTTTACCAGGCAAAAGCATATGGCCAAGGTAGGTCTGAAAGGCACCATGTGCTCATGGTGCTAACAAGTTTCCTGCCCTGATGGCACTGTTACATTGCCTATAGAAAGCCAGATATGGTGCCATGTGCCTTGAATCCTAGCACTTGGGAGTGGAGGCAGGAGGATCAATGTTATCCTCAGCTGCAGTGTGAATTTGAGGCCTTGAGAACAGAGCTGGTGAGATGGCTTAGTGCTACAAAGCCTGAATACCTAAATTCGATCCCCAGAATCCACATGATTGAAGAAAACAAGGAAAGAACCAACCTCCCACACACAAGTTGTCCTCTGACCTCTATACTGTGCCCATGATATGCATGTACATACATAAAAATAAATAAATGTTCCAAAGTTTTTTCTTGTAATTTGAGGCTGGCCTGGACTTTATAAAAACCTGGCCTTTAAAAAGAAAAAAGAGAAGGAAAAAAAGAAAAAGGAGCCAGATGATGGTGGCATATACCTTTAATCCCAGCACTTTAGGAGACAGAGACAGGAAGATCTCCAAGTTTAAGGCCAGCCTGGTCTATAGAGCAAGTACTACGACAGCCAGGGCTATATAGAGAAAACCTTTCTTGGAAGAAAAAACAGAAAGAAAGAAAGAAAGAAAAAGAGGGGCTAGAGAGGTGGCTCAGCAATTAAGCCCACTGGCTACTCTTCCAGAGGTCCTGAGTTCAATTCCCAGCAACCACATGGAAGCTCATGACCATCTGTAATAAGATCTGATGGCCTCTTCTGTCTATTGCCCTGTCTGTCATGCAGGCATACATGCAAATAGAGCAGTTGCATACATAAAATAAATAAGTAAATCTTTAAAGAAAAAGGTGTGTGTGTGTGTGTGTGTGTGGGTGGGTGTGAGTTGTGTGTGTGCGTGTGAGTGTGCATGCGTGTATGTGAGTGTGGGGGGGGTTGGTTGTATTGAGATCCTTGCATCTCATCCCCTTTATCTCACCATACAATGAATAAGTAAGTTTTGTCCTTTCCTGCAGGTTTTTTTAGAATACATTCAGCCCAAGGACCCTAGCAATGGGCAGATGTATCAGAAGACCTTGCTGGGAGTAATTCTGAATATTTCGTGCTTGTTAAAGACTCCGGGTGTGGTGGAAAATCATGGCTACTTTCTGAATCCATCTCGTTCCAGTCCTCAGGAGATCAAAGTACAGGAGGCCAACATTCATCAGGTGGAACTGTTTCCCAGGGTATCACAGCCCCCTGATTTGAGACGAGCATTTTCTCAGGAACCATGTAGGGATAAGGCTGTGTCAACCTCTTTGGGAAAGCAAATTGATCTGATTGGCTTTTGTCATAATATAATAAAATTGCCCTCTTACTGGGAGTGATGGGGTAGCTTGTAATCCTAGCACTTAGGAGATAGAGTCAGGGATCAGGAACTCAGGACCATCTGAGCTACATAGTAAGTACTAGACAAACCTGCACTATAAGAGAGCCTATCTCAAAAATGAAAGAAGGAAGCAAAGAAATCACCCCTGGCACATGCCTTTAATCCTAGTGCTCAGGAAGCAGAGACAGATGGGTCTTTGTGAGTTCGGGAACAGCCTGGTCTATAGAGCTAGTTCCAGGACAGCCAGAGAAACCCTATCTCAAGAAATAAAAAGAAATCACCCCCTTCATATCCTTCACAGTGACTTTGATGTTGGTGAGAGTAAACTTCTAGATTAGATAGAAGCACCTGCCCCATATGATGACACTGTCACACTCCCTTCAGTCCTTGCCCTTCTTGCCAAGATACTTATTGTCACTTATCTCATAAAACCTTCTGACTAAATGCCATCTTATAAATCTTTGTCCCTTGCCCTTCTCTTTATGTGCAGACCTCTTAAAATAAAACTTAGCAAAGTCTGACTGTGGGGCATTAGATGGCTAACTGGGGCACAGTTTAAGGGTCCCATTTACTATTTAACCATCACGATGCTGTCAAGCAGATGTTTAGCAGACTACAGCAGTAGCCAAATCCAACTGCCCATGGTGTTTGTTTTGTTTGTAAAGAGAGACTTACTGGGGCCAGTGAGATGGCTCAGTTGGTAAAAACACTTGTCATCCAGCCTAATGATTTGAGTAAGGTCCCTAGGACCCACATAGTAGAAAGAGAACACAACCTGTTCCCAAACATCCTCACACATAATGCTCAATAGCATGCCCCTCCCACATACTAAATACATTAAGACTAAGTAAATGTAATATAAAAATTAAAAATATTTATTGACTGTAACCATGTTTATTTGTACTGCTTATGACTCAGTTTCATTCTGCAGTGGTAGAGTTGAGTAGTTGCTATGAGAACCATGACAAACAGAGCCAGAAGAATTATCATTAACACTTTACAGAAAAACCCCAACCATAAAGCCTGTTAAACCCTCTGCAGCTTGGCAGCTGACCAGAAAATGTCCCATAAGTACCCAGGAATACATATATTTTAAAAAATCAGAATCAAGGAATAAAGTGCAAAAAAAGTGAAGGGAAAGATTAAAATTAACATATTTTTAGAAACTTGTATTTGCTAGTGTTTAGGAGTAAAAAAGAAAATGCCAGGATTATGAAATTGGAATGTTCTGTGGTTGTGTTTTCTGATTAAACAGTTCATGGCTCAGTTCCATGAAAAGATCTACCAGATGCTGAAGAACTTGCTCCAGCTCTCTCCAGAAACCAAGCACGGTATCTTGTTCTGGCTTGGAAACTGTTTGCATGCAAATGCAGGACGCACCAAGATCTGGGCCAATCAGATGCCCGAAATCTTCTTCCAAATGTATGCCTCAGATGCCTTCTTTCTGAATCTGGGTGCCGCTCTCCTGAAGCTGTGCCAGCCATTCTGCAAGCCCAGATCCTCCCGGCTTCTCACTTTTAATCCCTCATACTGTGTCCTGAAGGATTTGAATGATGAAGAACGAAAAATTAAAAATGTACACATGAGAGGTAGGTGGGCAGAGAACTGGGCTTTTCAAAACAGTGAATGTGTGTGCCACCTCTAAAGCATTTGCTCCCTTCATCTTTAAGAAAGTGCCTCTTGTTCAAAACAGATTAGACACAGTGGAGAACTAGTTAAATGATTTTAAACATGGATTTTTGAAAACAACTGTTATCCCTTAAATGTTAGGTCTTGGTGAGACCCTCTGTCTGGTTTGACAGCCTTGAACATTCGTCCCCTCATCTTTTATAGAAAGGGCACAGCTGCCGTTGTTTTTTGAACTCAGAGGGCAGAAGAGGGCAGACATGTTGGCATAGTGACAGCAGTGCAGGAAGGAGCGAGGGACCAGCTTTGCAGAAGCTGAGGTCTTCATGGCTGAGTCATGAAAGGCAAGTCAGGGTTTACCAGGCAAAGGAGAAGGAATGTGTGACAGGACAAGAACAGGTAAAAGTCTGTGGAAGGAACTGGGGAATGATGGCACATGCCTTTGGTCCCAGCACTTGAGATGCAGGCAGATCTCTGCATTTGAGGTTGTCTAGGAAAAAAAAAAATCTATGGAAGGTCTTTACAGAGGAACTGTAAAAAGTTCCATGTAGTTAGAGCAAGTGGGGTGAAGAGTAAGAGGTGGGAAGGAAGAAAGCTGACTCCAAATTGGAGAACACTTGAAGAATACAGAAAAGTGAAAAAGAAATGAATCAGCCATGATTCTGTCACTCAGAATGAATCTCTCCTCCTAGGTTTTTTTAAATCCTCTTATAATTATAAAACATATCTGCACAAAAGTAACTCAGCTTGAGCACAGGAGAACATAGAGTAAGTGGAAATGGTCCATTGTCTATCACTTGGGGGGAAATGCAGTATCATCACTCATTTTGTTTTTTGCTGATTTCATTGGTTCATCAAGAGATTTAACTATATATGTGGATAGCAAGAAGCCAGAGAGTGTTTGTAGACAAGGAAGTAGTTGGAGATGTGTTGTGAGGAAGCTACCATTGTAGCAGTATGCAAGTTGAGCAAAGTAAAATGAGACTGAAGTCCCAGACAGAAGTCAGTGTGAGCGATCATCATTCCTTTCACTTCTTCAAGGTTTGGACAAAGAGACCTGTTTGATCCCGGCTGTGCAGGAGGCAGTATTCCCCCAGAGCTACAACCTTGTGACGGAGAACCTGGCCCTGACAGAATATACCTTGTACTTGGGATTTCACAGGTAACTCCTTTAATGTCACTGGAAAAGAAATGTTTGTGAAGAGCTAGTTAGTTGTGCTGACAGCTCAAAAGTTGAAAGTGAGTCTAAAGACTTGTGTTAGGATGTCATAAGGATCAAACTCATGTGCATTTGTTTAAATTTATGTGAGGCCACTTTGAACCGATTACTTACAGTTTTTATCTATTTTTTAAATTATCAATGTACTAAAGTTTTTCTACATTTTGCCAACTTTTCAATCCCCATCTTTCTGTTGTTATCTAGGAAGACTGAATTATTTTTCATTTTACATTTCACATACTACTCTTGAGTTCTTATTACTTCTGATGCCAAAGGGCCAAGAGACAAAACTGAAAAAAATTGAGAGAATAATGATAAGGGATTTCAATAAGACAAGTATAACCACAAAAGAGCTGTGAGCCAGAGAGAAAGGGTTTTAAAAATGGGAAGGTTGAGAACTTGTGTGTAGAGGTTCCAGAAGGGTCCGTTTCTAGCAAGCCAGCTACATGTCACTCTACAATCTCCCCTCTTATTTAGCTGAGAATGGTTGCCAGTATAAGGGGGGAGGGATAACTCACTCATATTTCTGATCTGGAAAGAGTACTGTGAATACTGATTTGTTTTTACTTGGGGACAGGACACACATGCTCAAGTGTGATGGAGAAGCCTGAAGTTGGTGTCAGGTGGCTTTCTCAGTTGCTCCTCATCATATCTTTTGAGGAACTATCTTTCACTGAACCTGGAGCTCACTGATTCAGCAAGACTCCGGGGATCCTCCTATCTGTGTGTCCCCAGCATTATCACTACAGGAGTACAGTGCCAGACTCAGCTTTTACTTAGGTGCTGGGCATCTGAACCCAGGGCCTCATGCATGCACTACAAGCAGTTTACCATCTGAGCCATCTCCCCAGGTCCCAGTAATACTAATTTTTATTTGTTTGCTTATTTCAAGACAGAGTTTCTCTATCTTGGAACTTGCCCTGTAGACCAGGCTGGCCTCAAAATCCGATCCACCTGTCTCTACCTCCCAAATGCTGGGATTAAAGGCATGCATCACATGTCTAGCCTGAAATACTGATTTTTTTAAATGCCTTCTCAGGATATTTAAATTAATGTAAGGCATTTCCCCCCCAAAACTCCCAATAACAAATTACTGAAAAAAGAAAAGAAAAACTGTCTTTTTTGGCTTTTCGAAAAACAGATTTCTCTGTGAAGCTCTGTAGACCAGGGTGGCCTTGAACTCACAGATATCCACCTGCCTCTGCCTCCCAAGTGCTGGGATTAAAAGCGTGTGCCACCACTGCCCAGCTAGAAAGTTTTTCTAACCTGTTGTTGACATTTTAAATGTGGTAACAGAAGTTCAGCATGTGCTTGATCTGCTCAACAGTCTAAATTCAGACTGGATGCCTGGTATCTAGTTTCCCAGTCAGTAACCCTAGTCACTGTCCACAAGAACAAAGGGAGTGGAGAGGGGATAGTGGTGCACACCTTTAATCCCAGCACTTGGGAGGCAGAGGCAGGCAGATCTCTGAGTTTGAGACCAGCCTGGTCTGCAGAATGAGTTCCAGGATGGCCAGGGATACACAGAGAAACCTTGTCTTGAAAAAACAAAAACAAACAGCAACAAAAGAACCAAAGGGAGTGATTTCTGATTGTAGATGTTGAAGCATTTAACAGTAGCTTTTAGTTCTAGGTCTTCCTTTCAATGTTCAAATGAACTTCTATAAAGAATAATTACTCTATGCTAAACAACAGAGGGCTGGAGGCTGCTTGTAGATTGTGTGCCAAGTGATGGCTACTTTGTGTGGTCATTATAATCAAGCCTTTTTTTGGATGCTCAGTTTTCTAACTGTGCAAAGATTGTCCTCTGGCCCCACCTGTGTGCTGTAAAGTTTGTGCTGAGCTGCTCATTCTCTATCTTGTTAAAACGACTGTCTTTAGTAATAACCGCTCACTATGCACCATGCTCACTCAGAAACTGCTCTCTCTTCATAATTACCTTCATATTTGTTGCGTACATGGTAACATTTCCCCAGAGCAGTGCACCTTTCTTCTGTCCAGTCAGTGACTTTTGTGAGTGCCTTCTGTGACATTGTACTAGAATAACCAAACGAGGATTTGCTTTCCAGTGTAGTCTATACTACACTGCCCCACATGAGTCTCCCTGACCTGGTCTCTTCTGCTTTTTTGGGGGCAGGTTGCATGATCAGATGGTAAAAATCAACCAAAATCTGCATCGGCTGCAGGTTGCCTGGCGGGATGCTCAGCAGAGTTCTAGCCCTGCTGCTGACAATCTCCGTGAGCAGTTCGAACGCCTGATGACCATCTATCTTTCTACCAAGACTGCTATGACTGAGCCCCAGATGCTGCAAAACTGCCTCAATTTGCAGGTGTCCATGGCTGTTCTGCTGGTCCAACTGGCCATAGGCAATGAGGGCTCACAGCCAATAGAGCTAAGTTTTCCTTTGCCAGATGGCTACAGTTCTTTGGCTTATGTGCCAGGTAAGCAGCCTGTCCCTTGGGAGCATCCTATTAATAGTCACCTAAGTTTAACTGGGTCACCTTGGAAGCTTAATCCTCAAAAGACCGTCCTTAGCTATCAGTCCATTGTTTTTAGAGAAAGTACTCAAACTTGTACTTGCGAATAACATCTCCTGGCCAAAGCATGGTGGCACTAATGGTTGCTTCTCCAGCTCTGTTTCTCCAGTGCTCTGACAGTCAGAAAACAGCCTTCACAAGATGGGCTGCAGTCAGGGTTTTCACAGCTCTTAGTTTCTGTCATTAATATTGTTTGTCTTCAACTTATAATTTGTTTGTCTAACTCTCCCTGGGCTTTTTTAGAAAAAAGGGAAGCACCTCTTGTTAGTTAACTCAGAAGGGAGATTGTGTGTATGTATGTCAGGGAAGGGCCAATAGATATTGTTCACTAATCAGATTAAATGTTCTTGAACAATGTCCTGGTCTCCTATGGCTACAAAACAAGTCCCCCCCCCCACCAAACAAAGCAGTTTAAAACAATAAACATTATCACACATAGCTCTCTGGGTCAGAAATCCCAGAGCACTTGACTGTGTGATGCTAGCTTAGAGCACTAATGAGCTAGCTCATGGCCAGCTATCAGTCAGAGCCATAGGACTCTGAGGACTCAAGGGGAGCTGGAGGGTCCACTTACAAGTCCAGTCATGTGGTTGTCATCAGGCCTCAGCTGCTTGCCAGGAGCTCCACACATTTCTCTGTAGCACTCATGATGTGGCAGCACAAGGCGCCAAATGAAAGCTGCAGACTTCGATAGCTAACCTTAAGAATGATGTACTCTACTATATACATCAGGGTATCTCCTAACCTATCATAATGTAGAAAGGGACTTTGCCAAGGTATGAGTGCCAAAAGGGGAGGATGCTCAGAGGACCATCCTGGAGCCCCTTGATGCAGTCACCTAGTGTAACTAGCCACACCTAAAGCGTAGCTTAAATTGCTACTGACCTTTGAGGGCACAGCATGCTTGTGTTAGCAAAATTTTGTGTTACTACTGTTCATGCATCTACTCAGATAAAAATAAAGCTTGATACACATGTAAGAGATCACAGTAGTTTATCACCATGTCTGGTACTTAGATGGTGATAAAAGTTTGGTACAAAAGACTTTCTGAGAGGTGGCTCAGAGGTCAAGAGCACTGACTGCTCTTCCAGGGGTCCTGAGTTAATTCCCAGCAACCACATGGTAGCTCACCACCATCTGTAATGAGATCTGGTGCCCTCTTCTGGACTGTAGGCATACATGTAGACAGAACACTGTATACATAATAGATAAAACTTTAAAAAAAAAAAAAAAAAGACTTCAATTTTTTTAACCTTCATTAATTAATGTGAAGAGACAGATTGGAATGTTGTTTAGAACCAATGAACAGATATTTGGCTAATTCCAGCAATTCTTTTTCAGAATTTTTTGCAGATAACCTGGGTGATTTCCTCATTTTTCTCCGGCGATTTGCTGAGGACGTCTTGGAGACATCAGCAGATTCCCTGGAACATGTCCTTCACTTTATCACCGTTTTCACTGGAAGCATAGAAAGGTGAGGTGCTGGAAACGTGCCCATCACTATTAGAGCTACAAAACATCCCTACTGCTGTGCTGAGACTTCATAAACAGAGGACTCTGCCCACAGAGAATGTGAACCTGAATATAAAGGGTCTGCTGGGAATTCCACTGCTGGTCCCTGGTTAAAATAGTTAATCAGAATACCAGAGGCCATACCAGTGGCATCCAAGTGCTAAATTCTTCTACTAATTACATGAGTCAAAGCTTGCTCCTAAACCTTGAGTTGGGTAAGTAGTAAACCTAGGTTCATGTTACTTCTAGCCTTCTCTCTGAAACAGGGATACTATGGGTTTAGAATTGCTTCCCTGATTTTTTTGTTTGTTTGTTTGTTTTGTTTTTTGCAGGGTGGGGGTATATATGTAGACCAAAGGAAACAATTTCTATACATAAAAGGGAACATTTGCTGAAAAATAAAAATAAAAATCCACAACTAACCTTCCCTGAGTTGAGCAGACCCTAAGGGAAGTCAGAAGCCAACAAGCATTGATTAGACACATAGGTAGGGAGTATGGGTGCTATCAGGTAATTATAACCTAACCTTTGCTCTCAGAAAGCTCGGGAAGCCAAATGTATTCACAATGAACCTGTCAAAGAGTAGTGCATTGGTATAGAGAAGAAAACTGAATGTCTAAGCTTTAAATGGAAATTGAAGTGCTCCCTCACACATGGTAAACTTCCATCTCAAGAGCTAACTGACCAGGCATAATAGTGCACTTGTATAATCCCAGCACTCAGGAGGCAGAGACAGGAGGATTGCCATAAGTTCAAGGTCAGTCTGGTCTGCATAGTGAGTTCCATGACAACCAGGACTACATACATAGTAGAACCATCTCAAAATAACATATTAAATGGCATATCCTGTATCAGCTGAGTACTGACAACTTGAAACAGGTGTGGTTTTTTATATATTTAATAGTGATATGGTATGTATTGGCTCCTTGTGTAGAACAGAATCAATCATATTGGGGAAATTAAGTACTCTTGCTCATCTTGCTTTCTGCCCTCTGCAGAATGAAGAATCCCCACCTAAGGGCCAAACTAGCAGAGGTGTTGGAAGCTGTGATGCCTCACTTGGATCAGACCCCAAATCCCTTGGTGTCCAGTGTCTTTCATCGGAAACGTGTGTTCTGCAACTTTCCATATGCTGCCCAACTTTCAGAAGCCCTAATCAAGGTTTTTGTGGACATTGAATTTACAGGTAAATGAGTCATGTGGCCAGCTCTAGAGCTGAGAACTAAGTTTCATGGCTTGATCACCTTTGAATGTCACAGGAATGTCAACCAGCATGTCTTGATTACTTACTGTGAGACAGGCTTGATGCAGAGTGCTTTATTTTTTCTTACACCATTAACTTGTCTATCTGAAAGTTTATCTATATTGTTCTCATTGTATATGTGAGAAGATAGATACTTAACAAGTTTTAACTTTTTATCATACAACTAGAAGAGATATAGAACCAGCTCTGTCTTACAAAAAACAAACAAGAACAGGAAAAAACAAATCCCACCTACATAGTGTTGGCAAGCACAGCAATCATGAAGACCTGAGATTGAGCTTTACGATCCAGGTGAAAAAAAGCTGATTTAGCAACATGTACCCATAATCCTAGATCTAGGTTGGGGGGGGAGACAGGGGGATGCCTGGAGCTCACTGTCCATCCAACCTGGCCAGATCTAGTGAGCTCGGATTTTAATAAGAGATTCTGTCTCAAAAAACGAGGTGAACAGCAATTGAAGAAGACACTTGGTGTTGACCTTTAGGCTCCATATGTGCATGTGCAAACACACACACATACACATGTGTGGACACACACATAAACATGTATGAACACATACCCACAACATGTATGTACACATTTTTAAAAATTAGTTAAAATAAACAGTACCAGTAGACAACATTGTCTTTCTCTTCAGTCCTGAGCCCATGGGTTTGATTAAGAACTTTGTCTGAACTAGTAGGCAAGGTATGTTAGGCAGTTCCATAAGAGTCTTTTTAAAGGGTATTTCTGCCATCTGGTGACATATACAGTTAACATTTAAAGAGTCATTTAACATTTTATTAGCTAACTTTCCATATTTTTTTCTGCCTTTGTCTCTTCATTTACTCTGGGTCTTTCCTCACCTGTAAAATGAGTCAAAGCTGGGCACGTCTTTAATCCCATCACTCAAGAGACAGAGGCAGGTGGATCTCTGTAAATTCAAGGCCGGCCTGGTCTACAGCCAGAATTACCCAGAGAAACCTTGTGTCAGGGTGGGGATGAATTGGGGTTGGGTTCCTAGAGAGGGCTGGGGATGTAGCTCAGTGGTAACACACTTGCCTAATGTGTGCAAGGCCTGTGTTTTGTGTGTCATGTATGTGTTTTAATAGAATATCCTTTAACAATTTCATACATGTAAAGAATGCTTGATTATACCCCCACCCCAGTTCCCTCCTCCCACTTCCTCCAGGTACTCCCTACTCATCCCCTTTCCCCTTTCACAACCCACTGAATCCAGTTAGTGCTGCCTGTTGGAATGCTGACTAGTGTTGTTGATGTGATCTTGTGCAGGTAATTACAGCTACAGCCTAGGATTTATACCCGCACCACAAGGGGTATGGGCTAGGGGGACTCCCGGGGATGATTTTGGCAGCAGCCTTGGCATTCAAAGTAAATAAACCACATATGCATAAGCTTCTGCTTATTCTATATTAAACAGTCTACCATTGCCGATTTCTTCTTCTTGCCTTACTCTAGGGGATCCCCATCAATTTGAACAGAAGTTTAATTACCGCCGCCCTATGTATCCCATTCTAAGATACATGTGGGGGACAGATAGTTACCGAGAGAGCATTAAGGTAAGAGAGGTTCTCATGAAACCAGTTGCTTCAGGTCAGCCTCAGGAAAGTTTTTGTGATTTGGTACTGAAGTATCTTCTTCTTGGGCTGGACTTACAGGATTTGGCTGACTATGCCTCTAAGAATTTAGAAGCTATGAATCCCCCACTGTTCCTCCGATTTCTTAACCTGTTAATGAATGATGCTATCTTCCTTTTGGATGAAGCCATACAGGTAAAAAAGAAAGAATTGTACTTTTTCCTATACTATCTGTGGTGGTGTCAATGAGAAACCCTTCAGATCATCAACAATGGTGGTAGTGGGATGGTGATGGTAGTGTTTGGTTCTCTTTCTCTATCTCTCTCTCTCTCTCTCTCTCTCTGTGTGTGTGTGTGTGTGTGTGTGTGTGTGTGTGTGTGTGTGTGTGTGTGTGTGTGTGTAACAAGTTTTCTCTCCCAGAGTTTGGGGATTGCAAATATGAACCAGTAAACCTGGCAGAGAGTATATTCTTTTTTTTTTTTTTTTAACCTCATTTTTGTTGTTGTTGTTTTGTTTTGTTTTTTGAGACAGGGTTTTTTGTTTTGTTTTGTTTTGTTTGGAGCTGAGGGCCTAACCGAGGGCCTTACGGTTGTTAGGCAGGTACTCTACCACTTAGCTAAATCTCTAGTCCTGATACAGGGTTTCTCTGTGTAGCTTTGGAGGCTGGCCTGGAACTAGTGTTGTTTTTTTTTGGGGGGGGGTTTGGGGGAGTTTTTTTTTTTCCCCTACAGGGCAGGGTTTCTCTGTATTGCTTTGGAGCCTGTCCTGGCACTCACTCTGTAGACCAAGCTGGCCTCAAACTCACAGAGATCCTCCTGCCTCTGCCTCCAGAGTGCTGGGATTACAGGTGTGCACCACCATTTACTTTAAACATTCTTGCACACCAAAATGTAATAGTGTGTTCCACACTTGCCATTGCATAGCTTTCTAGGTTTACCAGTTTCATTAGAGACATGATCAAGGGTCATTGTTGAAGTTTCATGGGCTTGGGTGGTTCTTTGGTTGAGAGTTTAAAAGATGGTTATTGGGGCTGGAGAATGGCTTAGTGGTTAAGAGCACTTACTATTTTTACAGAGGACCTGAGTTCAGTTCCCAGCATCCACATGGCAGCTCACAGCCACTTGTAACTCCAGTTCTAGGGAATCCAACACCATTTTCTAAACTCCACAGGCTCCTGAAGACATGGTACACACACATATACATAAATCATTTTTTTTAATGTGATAAAGCCAAACTAGGGTGTACCAACAGACCAGCAATGTAAAAAGGAATCATAGAATCTTAATTTTGGTCAGTGACTCTCAGATTTTCTTTGCTATGACAAAGTACCTAAGAAGAACAACCTAAAGAAAGTGCAGAGGTTTTAGTCTAGGCTTAGATGTGTGCTCTATGTTGGGCCTGCAGCTAAGCAGGATCTCCTGGTGGAGACAGGAGTATCAGTATGACTAGGCAGTGACCTCTAGGAGGAGGATACAGCTTAGTTGGAGGATAGCCTACTAGACAGTCAGGAACTCTCGCTGATAACCCACTGAGGAACTTGGGTTGGGTTTGTGAGATGGATTTGGCCTCCTGCTCTTTTCATAATCCTGCACTCTGAGACCTAAAGTAGCTTCTCTGAGGAAATGAGAGCAGTTCCTATGATAAACAAATCTATTGTGTAGGGATGGTATGATTCAGAGAGTGAAGCAGATGGCATTCTCTTGAAATTAGATAACTCATTGTTTGCTGCAATAGTAGGATGATGAGAGACGAGGGCTTCAATAATTATGACATTCTAAGTATTTCTAGACACCAGGCATGTTTATAGAAATTTAGGTTTTGGTGATCAAGTTTTGAACATTTTGTGTTGTTGGTTTTTGGTTTTTTGTTTTAGGAGCCTGGCTCTATGTGCTGTTCCACTGATCCTCCTTTCCCTCCTGATACTATCCTAGTTCAAGCAGTTACCTACCAGTTTGCTCAAGCTGAGACAAATCTGTATGAGGCTACTACTTTTTTTTCTTTCCAAAAGGCTCAAGACTTTTACATAGTCTCTGGTTTTCCCAGCTTAGTTGACTGGGATTTTTTTGTTGTTGTCGTTGTTTTAGGATTTTTGTGTATGAGTGTTATGTTTGCATGTATGTAAGTATGCTATATGCATGCAGATTCCTGGGGAAGCTTGAAGAAGCCATTGCATCTCCTGGAGCTAAGTTACAGGAAGATGTGAACTGCCATACGCAAGAACAAGTGCTCTGAGCCACGCCTCCAGCTCTGGGACTTTTGTTAAGTGTATTAGTGTTTTGCTTGAATGTATGCAAATGCAGACAGTGCTCATGAAGGCCAGAAGTGGGCATCACATCCCTTGGAACTGGAGTTACAAGTGGTTATAAGCCACAGTGTTGGTGCTGGGAATCAAACCCTAATCCTCTACAAGAGCAAAAAGAGCCACCTTTTTAAACCCAGTTGACCGGATTTTAATTAAGCCATCTTAAATGCCATGGCCTTTCAATTGCATTTCTCTTATCTGATGTATCATGTTTCTGGTTTCCATAGTATTTGAGCAAGATAAAAATTCAGCAGATCGAGAAAGACCGAGGAGAATGGGAGAGTCTGACACCAGAAGCCCGCCGAGAGAAAGAGGCTGGCCTGCAGATGTTTGGACAGCTGGCACGTTTCCATAACATCATGTCCAATGAAACAATTGGTACCCTTTCCTTCCTGACATCAGGTGAGAACATAACGGTCTGCTTTCCCCCAGAAATGTAGGAGTCAAGGTCTGTCATTTAGGGGATCAGCCCAACTAAAAACTGAAGAATTAGAATCTGGGACTGGGGATGCAGCTTAGTTGGAAGAGTGCTTGCCTGGCCTGCATGAAACTCTGCATGGTGGCATACTCCTGAAATCCCAGTACTTTGGATATTGAGGCAGGAGGATCACACTAATCTATGTAAGTTCCAGGACACCTTGGGATGCACAAGACCCTGTCAAAAAACAAAAAACAAAACAAAACAAAAACTGATTTCTGCTGACTGTAACTTCCACATCTGAGAGTGAAACAAATCAGAGAAACTTTAGAAAGAATGATGGTACCCATTACTAACATGCCATGTGTGTGTGTGTGTGTGTGTGTGTGTGTGTGTGTATACACAGAAGGACTCTTGAGTCCCAGGCCAGCCTGAGCTACATAGATAAATAATTTTCATTCAATGATTAAATTTAGTGTGATATGACAGCCAGTAAGTAGGAGTGAAAGGAGACTCTAATGAGAAACACAGAAATGGATTTTTAAAACTTTGTTATTGTTGTTTGGTGGGGTTTTTTGATGGTTTTTTTTTTTTTTTTTTTTTTTTTTGTTTTGTTTTGTTTTTTTTTTTTTCAGATAGGGTTTTTCTGTGTAACTCTGGCTGTACTAACCCTGTAGAATGGACTGGTCTCGAACTCACAGACAGGTCCATCTGCCTCTACCTCCCAAGTGCTGGGATTAAAGGCATGTTCCACCACATCCAGCTGCAATTTTAAAAATGTATAAAGCTTCTTATAAAAACTTTATCAGGTCAGGGAAATAAGAAAAGGTGGCCACAAACCAAGAACAAAAACCACAAAGGATAGGGAAGTTGCTTTGAATAACGAAAATGTGACTTTAAAATTTTAATAGGACTGGAGAGATAGCTCAGCTGTTAAGAGTTCTGGCTTTTCTTTCAGAGGACCTGGATTCGATTCCTAGCACCCACATGGCAGCTCACAACTGTCTGTAACTCCAATTCCAGGGGACCTGGACATTCTCACACAGACATATATGTAGCCAAAATGCCAATGCACATAAAAAATTAAAAACAAATAAATAAAGATAAAGAGAGAGAGTGAGAGAGAGAGAGAGAGAGAGCCGGACCCTGGACGGTGGTGGTGCACACTTTAATCCCAGCACTCAGGAAACAGAAGCAGGCAGATTTCTGTGAGCTCTAGTCCAGCCTGGTCTACAAAGTGAGTTCCAGGACAGCTAGAGCTGTTACACAGAGAAACCCTGTCTGGAAAAACAAAATAAATAAGCAAACTTTAAATATTCAGTGAAAGGGCTAAAAAAAATAAACTCAAAGAACTCTCCCATTAAAATGGAGCAAAAAAAAAGAAAATGAGATAGAGATTAGGAGAGAAAGGATGAGAAAATGAATGGTGGATTTAGGAAGTCTGAATACAAGTAAAATGTGGGGTGCCTGGGTGAGAGAATCTGCCACCAAGCTTGACAACCTGAGTTGGACCCCTAGAACCACATTGTGGCAGAAGAATACTGACTTTCACAGCTGTCCTCTGACTTCCACACACTTGCTGTAACTCAGGTACACCCCCCAAAAAAATATTTTTAATGTTTTAACAGTGTTTGTGTGTGGGTAGCAGCTTTTGTTTCCTTTTCGTTTGATTTTGGTTTTACTTGTCTATGTTTTCTCCACTGAAAATGTATTATGTAATTTAAAATCCTCAGAGCTCTCCAGTAAAATTAGTTATAAGGGGGAAAAATTACTGATGGATTGAGTTTTGAGACTTTGGCTTTTTTCCAGAGATCAAGTCACTGTTCGTGCATCCCTTCTTAGCTGAGCGCATTATCTCCATGCTAAACTACTTCCTACAGCACCTGGTTGGCCCCAAGATGGGAGCTCTCAAAGTCAAGGACTTCAGCGAATTTGACTTCAAACCTCAGCAACTTGTATCAGACATCTGTACTATCTACTTAAATCTTGGGTATCTGAGATTGGCATTAAGGAAGCCATGTGGGGAGGGGGGTGCTAATGTTGTGATAGCAGAATGGCTGGCTACTATTGTGTGAAAATAGTGGGGAAAGGATGACTTATTGCTAGCTGATAGATAAAGGAATCCTCCATAGTTTTAGAGAAAAGATTTTTTCTGATCCATGGGACACTGTTCATGATCTGTGTAAAGATAAGCTTCCCTGACTATGCTACTGTCTGTTAAAGCATTTTTAGGGCCATAGAACACTTCATATAGACATCCTTGTAGAAAATTAGATGTGGTGGCACACACCTTTACTCCCAGAACTCGGAAGCCAGAATAAGGTAGATCTCTAAGTTCGATGCTAGCCAGACCTACAGAACAAGTTCCAGAACAGCGAGCCCTACACAGAGAAACCCTGTCTCAAAAAAAAAAAAAAAAGGAAGGAAGGAAAGGAAATTAGATGTCACATGAACAATAGCATCTGAGTTTAGATCCCCAGCACCCACTTAACAAGCTACATGTGGTAGCATGCACCTGTAATCCCAGTACTGGGGAAGCAAAAACAGAAGGATCCCTGGAGCTCACTGGCCCATCTAGCCTAGGCAAGTTGATGAATTCTAGGATCAATGAGAGGCCATGTCTCAAAAAATACAGTCTGGAAAGTAATTAAGGAAGACACCCAACATTGACCTCTGGCCTCTGTACACATATAGACACATTTATACATGCACATACATATACATACACCACATACAGAGATACATAACATAATAATATGTCTTTCTAGTTCAAATGAGTACTTGTGGCTTATAAGGATGGAATGATTGTACTATAGCCCATCTGCTGTCCCCACATTGACCTATGCTCTGATGCTCCATCTCTTTCTAATGCTGACCTTCTAGGGATGAGGAGAATTTCTGTGCCACTGTGCCCAAGGATGGACGTTCCTATTCCCCTACTCTCTTTGCACAGACAGTCCGAGTCCTGAAGAAAATCAATAAGCCTGGGAATATGATTGTGGCTTTCAGTAACTTGGCAGAGAGAATCAAGGTAAGGATGAGGATCGTTTGTTTTCTTGTATATTCAGTAAGAAATGCCATACTGTCAACTCAGCTCTTCTGCTTTTGCCCTATTTCAGGGAGAAAAGGGGTACTGCCTAGAGGCATTGAAAACAGGCACTTCATCCTAGTCAGTTAACAATTGGGAATAGCCACCTTACTAAATAGTACCCCTTCCAAGGGAGAGTAAGAACAAAATTGAAGATGTGTCTACCAGGTGTTGTCGCCTTAGTCTCTTGCAGACCTCCAGCAACAGGAAGAGGAGACATACGCAGATGCCTGTGATGAGTTCCTGGATCCCATCATGAGCACACTGATGTCTGACCCTGTGGTGCTTCCATCTTCCAGAGTCACTGTGGACAGGTCCACCATTGCCAGGCATTTACTCAGGTATGCCCATCCACAGAGCTGCCTCAGGAACACAGCTGTGTTAGCTTCGTATGTACTCTCCCAGCCACTTAACACAGTACTGTGTACAATATGTATTGTAGATTCATTGGTGTAGCACTTTGATATCACCTATTTTAAGACTTGAAAGATTTACAAAATAACTCTTTTGGGAGGTACTGAATCTTACCTTACCTCTTTCCTCTGTAAGTAATCTTAGCCAGCTATGGTGGCAGGAGCCTAGAATTCCAGCACTTGGGAGACAGAAGCAGGAGGATTGCCATAACTTTGAAGCCAATATGGTCTACATAGTAAGTTATATAGGCCAGCCAGAGCTATGTAGTGAGACCCTATCTCAAGACACACACAAAAATAATTTTATCCATATTATGAATATGTCAACATGAAATATATTCTGGCCTGAAATTGTTCTAATCATATTTAAATTGTAAAAATGTCCAAAAAGGAAAAATAAGAACAACAACAAAAACAAAAACCAAACAAACAAAAGTACAAATGGTGACTTAGATAACACAGTGACTAGGATCTCTGACTTGAAATCTAAAGGCTGACGACAAAGATAGCATTTAAAAATTTTTAAGTTCATTCATGTTACTTATGTGTATGAGTATTTTGCTTGCATGTATATAGGTGTGCCTAGTGCCCACAGAGGCCAGAAAAAGACGTTGATTCTCTTGGAACTGGCATTACAGATGTTTGTGAAACTTCATAAAGGTACTAGAAATTTAATCCAGGTCCTCTGGAAAAGCAGTCAATGCTCTTACCACTAGGTCATCTTTCTGGCCCCAACTAGGATCAATATCTGAGTGGAAGTGTTGGATAAAGTTTATTACTAGGCAGAGAGACAGGGTAGTGGAAGATTTGAGAATCACACCTTTCTCATTTCCTTCTTTCTAACCCCAAGTCAGCATCTAACTCCAAGGCACAGTGCACCATGGCTTGAGACTCAGCAAGGAGATGCTTAGATGTTCTATATTAGAACTTTTCAGAGTAACTCACTTTTCACACTTTTCTTGTTCTAGTGACCAAACAGATCCTTTTAACCGTAGTCCCCTTACCATGGACCAGATCCGGCCAAACACTGAACTCAAAGAAAAAATCCAGCGGTGGCTCGCAGAGAGGAAGCAACAAAAGGAGCAACTTGAATAAATACTGTGAACTAAACAACCCAAACCAGCCCCAGGGTGTAAACAGTTGTTTGTGGGTTCTCTCTTTCTGCCTCTGATCCTTCCCTTTTTCTTTCCCTTCTTTCTTTCTTCCTTTTGTTTTGGTTTTGGATTTTAGTTATTTTATTCTTTGTTGTTTTTCCTTTAATAAGTTAGAAAATTGTTCTTGTGCAAATTATGATAATTAAGATTCTTAAGACCTTGTTGTCTCCCTAGCTTTCAGGAAATTCTCCTTCTCACATCTTCATAAATTATCAGTAATTTTCAGCCTTGGTTTTCCTATTCCTCTTGTTTCCTTTCCTACCCTAAATTATATTAAGTCCAGTTACAAAAATGTCATGCCACTTTATCCTTTCCCTTCCCAAGTACTGTTCAGACATTTTTTAGTGAGCACTGCTTGTAAGTCTTTGATGTCAGCTACTTCCATGACAGCAGATAGTATCCAAAAACCCTGTCATCCTGTGTATCTGTAGCCTGTCTGTCCTTACCATAGCTGTGTAATATTATAGAGCAACTTTCCAGATGAATGCAAATACCTTAGTGTGGGTAGACTTTGAGCTGATGGGTAAGAGGAGGGAACCTTATACAACTTCTGTTGGTATGTCTTAATTTTGTATTATCTTGTGACAAAGATACCATCACAAACACTCCCATGAGGTTGCCACCACCAAAACTTAGCTGCATGGTCTTTTAATGAGTGACAGTAATGGATGAGACTTCCAGTAAGAGAATAAATGAGAAGCTCTCGCTGCCCTTTTCTATTTTGTGCCCCAAGGACTAGGCCTGGATAAAATAGGCAATAAATAGTATATCTATGAAGATGTTACTTTAGGCCTCTGATGCAGTATATCTCAGTGTATAGGTGTTATACACACAGATACTGTGTCCTTTCTTTTTTTTATTGGTCTCATGAATTGAGTACCACATTATATTGTGTCCTCTAATATATGTGGTATGTGGCAATGTCTCCTCACATATTCACTCTAGTTGGGTAAAATTGTAAGACTAAAATGTATATAGCTAATGTTTCAGCTGTAACATGGCTCCTAAGAGCTGCTTCTAATCTAGCCTTAGTGAATCAATGAACAAAGTAGAGATTGAAGCAAAATCTTGTCCACAAGCCATTTTAAATATCCCCTTAGCTCTGGGTAGTCAATAAGTGGTTTAACCCCACTTCTACAACTGTTTTGCTTAACATGCTATGAGAGGCTCAGTCCTCTACAGGATGTTTTTATATCCGTATCAGTCTCAGCCCAGAGGTGTAAAGGACAAGAAAATGAGATTGTGACTTCCTTTAAAGAACATTACTGTTAGCCATAGACTGTCATAAACAGAAGCAGTGTTTCAGTATTCCAACACAGGTTGCTATAAGCAGCCCTTGTGTATTTTCTGAAGGTGTCAACTGGAAAAGCTCTGAACAGAGAGGGCCTCCCACTCTGCCTGTTAAATAAATGTTGGCTGTTGCTGTGCTTGTCTGTGATCAGGGAAGCCTAGGACACATTTGTAAATGCCAGATTGTTAAGGTAGACTCCATGCACTTGGTTGACAGGATTGCTTTTCTTTAAATGAACTTCATTTCCTGTGTGTATTATTCTCCTTTCCCTCTCTGGGAATGAACTGCATTTGAAATAAGCTTCTACCTACTGCACTGATTTTCCCAAAGCCAGTGTGGTAGGATGTTTTTGTTTGAAAAAGAGGAAAGACCAGAGTTTTGCAGGTGAAAACTGGAGGAAAATGGGTACAAAACCTCCAGCAGCTTTCTAGCTAATAACCTCTATGCTGCCTCTAGTGTCTGTCTATCTGTATTCTACTGAACTGAACCTTCAGATTGTAAGCCTTTTTTGGCGAGTTTGTGTTCCGTTTTACTTTTATGCTCTTCTGATACTTTTCTATGAACTGCTGTGCACCACTGATGCTGCTGAACCCTGTTATCACAAAAGCAAGTGTGTAGCTTAAGGCCACTATTGGTGAGGAAACCAAGTGTCCTCTGTGCCTTCTTTCTGTCTGTGAACTAAGTTAAAGACATCCAGAAAAAGGAACTGTGGAGACTCCCATCCTGTCCAACAAGGCACCTCATATATGCATTTGCAAAGGTAAAGGGGTGTCTTGTCTGGAACTCAGCAGCAGCTGTAAATCTGGTAAGACTTCCTGACATACCTAGTTTTAGGTGATGACTTTGCTGGAGTACAAAAGGAAAGTGAAGACTTCAGTCAGCTCTAGTATTGCTCATAACTTACCAAGAGGCTAATACTAAACTTGGAAAATCATTTAGGGTTAAAGCAGTTGTTTGTTGAATATGACTTTCCATGGATACATGGAAGCTGAAGGAAACTTGAGTAGTAGTCTAATGGTGTAGGTGAAAGTGCCAGTTGCTGCTGTTCAGTAGCAACTCTACAAAAGTTTCACTACATTTATTTTTAAATTCTGGTTGCTGAGCAGCCATTGGGCAAAGCCTAAGACTACTGGGTACCTTTACAAGCCAGGCTGATGCTGCACCATTGTCATGTGAGGAAATAGTGCACATGTTCTAACTGCTAAACTGGTAAAGAACCTAGTGACAGAAAATGAAGAACAAAACAACAAAAAGGTTGACAGAAATCAAACTCGATCAATATAACTATATTTGAAACATTCCAGGAAGGTTACTTCTTGTCAAACTTGCCTGGGGGTGTTTGTTCAAAACCCATATTTAATAAATGAGCACCTGACTTACCACCTTTGTTATCGCTTTATTACAGTATTGAAAGCCAGCAGCAGCCTGGTGTGGTGTATGACTGTAATCCCAGCTGCTAATAGGAGGGATGGAGAGCAAGGTCTGCCAGGGCTACCTAGTGAATTCAAGGCCAGCCCAACTTAATTTTTTTCTTTTGGTTTTTTGAGACAAGGTTTCTCTGTGTAACTCTGGCTGTCCTGGAACTTGCTCTGTAGTCCAGGCTGGCTTCAAACTCACAGGGATCTGCCTGCAGTGCTCCACTACTACCTGGCTCAAATTAAAATTTAAAGGAAATGTAGCTCAATGGTAGAGAGCTTGCCTAGCATACACAGTGCTAAATTCAATCCCAGTACCACTACCACAGGAAGAAAAAAAATAATAATGACATTTCAAAATTTCCTCTGAAAACCTAAAGGGTTTTGTCACTTTCTCCAAGCAAGGTGTCTAACCTGACTGGCCTAATCTGCCTCACCACAGTCCTCTAGAGGGACCCTGGGGCTATACTCAGAAGATTCTCAAGGATTTTTATTTCCTAATTTGCTTCCATATGGCTTCACTTTATCCAGCCTAAACACCAGGCCCTTTAACAATTTGCTACCATGCCCTCACCGCCGTTTCTGTGCCTGGGACATGTAGGATCTCAGCCTAGATTATTTAACAGTTCCCCTCTGCTCTGATATCTAAACTACAGGCAACTGTTGGATGAAAATAATGAAGTCTTTATAGAGTACTGCAACCACACACTTGTGGGTTCTACCTGCCCAGCAGCTCTGCTCTGTGCCCATAAGATAATGTGAAATTTAGCCTCTCCCCGAAATTCTTTCTCCTTCCATTTACTTTTCACAATCAGGTGGCATCCACCACTTTGAAACTTTTCTCCCATCACTCCATTCAAGGAAAGGTCCCACCATTCCCAAACTAATTCCTATCTCCATTGTCTTGCAGTTCTTGACTATAGTTCTCTAACTTAAGTTTCTCTTAAATTCCACATCACCTCTGGGTTTACAGTCTCTTCCATATTTCTTCACAGATGCAATCTGGTTTCTAAGATTTTGAAACTGTTTCTAGTTAATGTCACTGATGTTCATACTAATAATTAGCTTGCCTATCTTTCCCCTAAAATATACATTCTTACCCTATAGACCAGACTGTCTCAAACTCCCAGTTTTCGGGCTCTTGTGTGCTTGAATAACATGGGTTTCACCACTCAAGTTGTCTTTCCTGCCTTAATTTGACATCAGTATCTAAGGCAGTTTGTCTCTTGACTCCATAATCACACTTCTAATTTTTCTTTCTACCTAACCATCCCATCAGTTTTATCTCTAACACTTGGGCTTCTCCAGAACGTCTGCTCATAAAATGTCACTTTCCTACATCGTTTTTTGTTGTTGTTTCTGTCACGTCAAAGCTCCAGCCCTTTGGAGTTTATAGTCTGTTTGTTGTTTGTTTGTTTACACATCAGGGATCTCTAGGTCTACCCAGATCAGCATATTGCCTAATATTATGTTCCTCTCTGTTTATCATACAACTCTGATACTTCTTATATGACCATTTAGGAATCTCGGTCACTTAAGGGGACAATACCCAAAGCGTTCACTGAATTCCAAAATGCCTGACATAATGTATACCCTCAATACATGTGACTTTCTTCCTACTGTCCGCATAGCTCCATGTGACGTGTTTGGAAAACCGGGATTGGATTCCAATTCTGATATAGGCTACAGCGGAAAATGAGATTATAAAAGGTCAATTAAAGAAGTAGTTAATTGGTTGAGTCAGTCTGGTGACTTGGATTATGTGACACCTACATGGCCCCTTAAAGCTTCTATTTGGCCTCAGCCCTGCCATGTCTCTAAAACAAACACCTCATGACGCCCTCCAGCCTCGATTTCCACGGTCTCTGAAGAACTACGAAACTGCCGCAAGCGAAAGTGGAGATCAAGCAAAGAAAACAAGTGACGCATGCGCATCTCCTCACCTCAACAGTCTTCCGGGCCGCCATGAGTGGCTGTCCCAAGCAATGCCTGTTTCCCGAGGAACCCTACTATTTTCTACATGTTCTCTTACCTCATCTTTTCATAGCTACATTTAATTTGTAATTAGCAAAATAAACTGCCCAATTATGTTCCATAAACACGGAAGGGATAACTATATGTTTTGAACAGGCATAGAGAGGGGGCAGCCTGACCTTGGAAGTGGGGCAGGGGGCCTGCCACGGGTCCTTCCGAGGGTGACATTCAGCCGGCGGTGCGAGGAGACGGACCTTCCACCCTACACCATGGCCAAGTTCGTCCGTAACTTCGCGGAGAAGGCCCCGGCGCTAGTAAGCGGTGAGCGGCGGTCCCGGGGAGGCGCGCGAGGGGAAGGAGTGTGCTGCGGGCACTAAGGGGTCCGCGCGGGCCGCCGGGAGGCCCTGTAAGGCTGCAGCCTCGCCTAACTGCACCCGGCTTCTCAGGGCGCGCAAGCTGCTGGGCCCTAACCGCGACCAGGGCCGTGTGAAGAAGCCCGGCCTCACTCCGCCGCGAACGCCGTGAGGCCCCCTTTACCGTGCCTTGATGGGGGGGGGGCGGAAACAAGGAAAAGGTCGCACGTCAGGCCTCATTCGGTGGTCTGGATCTCAGCGAAGAATTTGAAAATCATCAGAAAAATTTAATCTCTGAAAGTTGCGATTGCTTACCGTCTTGATCAGATCCTAGAGAAGTCTGCGTCCGGCGAAGGGAAGTTGGAAAGTAGGGATGAATCTCTAACCCAGTCCGCAGAGAAAGCGGTGCTTGTTAACAGTCGTCTTTATCATGGTGGCTTGGCATTCGTGGGGCTGTTCTGTTTGAAAAGGCTGTTAGACCGCCGTATCTCAGATGAACACTGAATAGTCACAAGCCTGCATAATGTATCCTGTCGGTACAGTTCTTTTCTGAGTAGCAGATTATTCATTGTATTTCTGAAGCGGGAGATGAAAGTAGCGAACTTTAAAAACGTATTGCTTTTGAGCTTGTTTTGCTGTGTTTGGATGGTTAGTGATTCGTTTTCTCCTCCCCTTCATCACCAGCCAACCAATAATGAGCTATTTATTGAAGACCGTAGAATACCAGACTATAAATATTGGGGTTCCTCCTACACAACACTAACTAAGCTAGTAAGCCGTTTCCCGCATTTTCCCAACGACTTTATTGTTCTCAACTTTAACTTTACTAAGATCACCAGGCTATCTATTGCAGACTGCTAAGATGTTATTTGTTTGTTTGTTTGTTTCAAGATGGGGTTCTCTGTATAGCCCTGGGTGTCCAGGAACTGGCTCGGTAGACCATGCTGGCCTCGAACTCAAATCTGCCAGCCTCTTCCTCTCAAGTGCTGGAATTAAAGACATGCAGCTGCCCAGCCCATACCCATCTCTTGATCTTATTAGTAAGCTCTTCCACTGTAAAACTATTGCTTTAACTTTCTGCATAATGAATTTTAATCCTTTTCACATATGCACATCATTCCCCTTCCTTTCCTGGACCTCTTCAACAAGTCCACCTTCTGCCTTCACACACACACCCCCGACAGGGTTTTCTGTCGGAGTGGTGAATGGGTCCATCTTCTACAAAGATCAAGAGGAATTCTAGGGGAGAGATGTGCCTGGTCTCCTTTTCTTTCTTCATTTTTCCCCATTTTTTTTTCAATTATATATTGTACTGGCTCATTTAAATTTATTTCATGCATCTCATATCTAATTCTGTGTCATTTATTGCTGAGATTGTACCAACCTTGGCCATCTGTAGATCGTTTAAGTTAGTGTCTCTGCCCCCTTTAATGTGCCTCCTTATCTTTTTGGTTTTACATGATAAATCATCTTTTTATTTTCTCTGCCCAGCCTTAGAATTGGCCATTTCTCCAAGAAACCCTAGTTCCTTTTATTAAACAATGGAATGTACACATCACCGTCTAGGTACTGGGTTTTTTCCTTGCTGCTAGAGTCCATTTTAAAGTTCTCTCGGTGTGGACAGTTTCATTTGCTGTAATAAAACACATTGGCCAAAAGCAACTTGGGGAGGAAAGGGTTTATTTCATATTTACAGTGTGAAGTCCTTCATCCATCCAGGGAAATCAGGGTAGGAACCTGGAGCCAGGAACTGAAGCGGAGATTATGGAAGGGAGCTGTTTACTGGCTGGCTCACATGGCTTGTTCAGCCTCCTTTTTTATAGCACCTAGGACCACCAGCCCAAGGGTGGTACCAATCAAGAAAATGCACCACAGGCCAAACTAATAGGGACATTTTCTCCATTAAGGTTCCTTCTTACCAAATAACTCTAGCTTGTATCAAGTTGACACAAAACTAGCCAGCACAACGGGTATTTAGACACATATTTATATATTTGCATGTTCGTCTGTATAGATAAATAATTGTTTCTTGGGACTGGAGAAATGGCTCAGTAATTAAGAGCACTTGTTGCTCTTACAGTTTCTTTTTTCTTTTGTTTTCTTTCAGACAGGGTTTCTTTGTGGACTCACTCTGTAGAGGCTGGCCTCAAACTCAGATTCACCTGTCTCTGACTCCCAAGTGCTCTGATTAAAGGCATGTACACACTCACCCGTGTGTCTGTGTGTGAGAGTGTGTGTTCATGTGCGCAAGCACACACACAGGCCCCCTGGCTGCTCTTAGAGTTTCCATATGTGTTTCTCTCAGTTTGTGTGTATGTTTCTCTCTGTCCCACAGCTTCAGTCCAGGACCTTGCATGTGCCTAACCACTGAGCTACATCTCCAGACCCTGTGCTGATTTTGTCATTATTTTTCCTGCTGAATTCATTGATTTGAAATAGTGAATATGTCAAGAAGTTTCAAATTAGTAGCAGATTCTAGGGGTTTAATTGGATGGTTGTGGTTTCTCAAGACAGGGTCTCTCTGACTATCCGGGAACTCATTCTTAGACCAGGCTGGCCTTGAACTCACAAAGATCTGTCTGCCTGAGTGCTGGGATCAAAGGTGTACACCACCACCATCCAGTGTAGTCTAGTTTCGATGCTCTTACTAATACATGTAAGTTTTATTTGTATTATGAGTGCAGTTTTTGAAAGGGGGTGCAGCTGTACCTTAGTAAGAGAGATTTAATCCAACACATATTGCTAAGGATACCAGAAATGGATACTAATTGGTATAATTCCATCTGGACTTGTTAAAAGGATGCTATTCTACATAGCTTCTTCCCCTTCTAGACTCCTATTCAAAATATGTTGTTTCTACAAAGAAAAATTAATAAATTGCTTTATCTTTGTTTTCAGATTTGGGACTAATAACTTTACAGTTAATTAGATTTGCCATTCAGAGGTGACTAAGTACTAGCTGGCCACTAGTGAGTCCTGGCATAATTGATACCACAGAGCTTCCTGTCAGTTGAGTGTCCCTGTGTGACACAAGTGTCTGCATCTTTAAAAGCCTCTTGTTACCAGGGAGCAGCAGCTCTGACTTCTCACAGTGGCTGCACATTCGATCCCAGCAGTGAGTGGATGTGGTACATGAATAAATATTTGTGTTCAGCCCACACATCTGCTTCTTTCGATCTCTAGTGAGTTCATCCTGGGTTTTTTGTTTGTTATGTTTTGTCTTCCAGCTGCCGTGACTTACTCCAAGCCTCGATTGGCCACATTTTGGTACTACGCCAGGGTTGAACTGGTTCCCCCAACCCCTGCTGAACTCCCTGCAGCTATTCAGAGTGCAAAAAAAATAATTCAAAGTGCTAAAACTGGTAGCTTCAAACAGCTTACAGTTAAGGTAACTATGGGCTATGAAAAAGTATGTTTGTGATAGAAAATGTCTTCCCTGGAGGACTTTTCCAGTTCTTAATTAACATATTTATTTTCAAATGAGGCGGAATCCAACATAATGAAAGGTAATCTCTTTTTTGGCTGCCAAAAAAGTCTGGATAGAAATAATTCAGCTATTCTTTGTCTTTGTCTAGTTGTGGTCTTAGAGCAAAAAGGTGATCATCTTGAATAACTGGCAGCCTTGATTTCCTTCCTAATATTAGCTAGTATATTATAATCTGGCTGCCTTTGCTGTTTGTTTTGTTTTTGTTCTAGAAGTATCCCCATTTCAGCTAAAGACCTCTGTAATTATTAGGTAGAACAAAAATAACAAAATCTGGGTTTTCAAAAGAATTGGACTTTGACTTTTAAATTCCAATTCTAGTAACACCTGGAGAGTGGGTGACAGGAGACTTCTAGTGGCCTCTGGTGTTACTGAATAGGAAATGACCTCCAGAAATGATCTTGTTAATAGTAAAGTCATCCAGCTCATTTATGGAAAGGTTTTTTTTTTTTTTTTTTTTTTTTTTTTTTTCTAGCTAGAGTTTCTAGATCCAAGTTTGCTTGGATGAAACCATGCTTTCTAGAACCATGTGTGGTTTGGATTTTTTCCCCTTTGAGGGTGGGGGGGGGGTCAGAAATAAAATGAATATTGAATACTTGGAAAGAATTTAACCAAATCATAGTAAATAAAAATGAAATAAATGGGATATAAAAGGGAAGAAGACAGTTCTTCATCTTCGCTGGACAAGCCTTCCTATGAATGCTGTCTAATGTGTGAGCCACTTCCAGGATGTGGGTTATTTTAGAGCCCATAAAGTGTCTCATAAACTAATAATGAAAGGGTTAAGTCAGTTCAGGTCTTTAAAAATTCCTTTGAAAGAATTTATAAGCTCAGATCCATTTGCCTTACAAAAATGAAAGTTCAAGATCTCAGAAGTTAAACATTGAACATCAGTAATTTCTGACTTTGGGTAAACCTGTTCTGTAGTTTTGAATAACATCCTTATATTCTCTGTCAATCCTAAGAGAGAATAGTTTCAAATATATGTTGGATCTTTTGTTTGTTTTTTAAAGTACCATAAAATTTGTGCTTTTTCTTTTCCAGGAAGCTGTGCTAAATGGTTTGGTCGCTACAGAGGTGTGGATGTGGTTTTATATCGGAGAGATCATAGGCAAACGTGGCATCGTTGGCTATGATGTTTGAAGACTGATCTTTAACATCTGATTTTGAGTTTTTACTTGAATGTTCTTGAACCACATGTAATGAGACTGAATAAAATACTAGCTGTCGAATAGCAGTGTTTTTCTCTATCAAAAACTACATAGATGGCCACAGTTTTTCCTGATAATAATTTGAGTTGTCTTTGGCCTTTGTTACGTTGGTACAGTTTTAACCTGAAATAAAAAAAAAAAAAAAAAATGGATGTGAATATATATATTCACATGGTACATAATACATGATGATAAATTTTTAATTCAAAGGATTGAAATATTAGCCAATCATAGTAGTCCATGTTTTTGTGTTTTCTGAGACAGGGTTTCTCTGTGGCTTTGGAGGCTGTCCTGGAACTAGCTCTTGTAGACCAGGCTGGTCTCGAACTCCCAGAAATCCACCCAGCCTAGTAGCCCATATTTTTAAGCCAAGCAGTTAGTTGGGAGGTAGAATTGGGAGATCACAACATATTTGAAGATGAGTTTGTCTGCATAGTTCCAGGCAGCCATGGTTATACAATGAAACTCTTTAAAGAGAGCAACACCAAAAATTTAAGTGGCTGTAGTGGCATACACCCAGCAACTGAAAAGACTAATATAAAATCACTTGAGTTCAAAACAAGCCTGAACACATAATATAATGAGGCTTTGTCTTAAAAGGAGAAATGGGGGAGGGGCAGGAGTTTAAGGTCATCTTGGGCTACATGAGACCTCATCCAACAGTAATTACAAAAAAGAAAATTGGACTATTTTTCTCAACAATTCTGTAAAAATGCTTTGGGTACTTGTCAATTTGAATATTTGCCTCAAGAAAAAGTAGTAGGGGGATCCTTAGATGTATGTTCATAATATCTTTGACAGTAGATCAGGTTGAAAGTCATGTCGTTGGGACAGTCTGGTGTGGTGGCACATTCCTCTTAACCCAGCACTTGCGAAGCAGATCTCTCAGTTCAAAGCTGTCCTAGTCTACATACCAAGTTCCAGAACAGCCAGGACTATATAGACAGACCCTCTCTTTTAAAAAAAAAAAAAAAAAAAAATCTAACTGGGATGTGATATGCTAATCTGGCTTTACAACTGTTACTACAGTGTTATCCATGGGTCTAAGTGGTCTGTTATGGCCTCAAACAGTGATTAGCATCAGTTTGTCTTGTGGATGCAAAAGGAGATGTTAACCCAGCATTGCCTTTTCCTGCAGCCTTACAGTCTCTGCTTGACTGAGGGGTATTTCTAACCTTTTTATTTTATCAGTTTTTGGAGACAGGGTTTTTCGGTATTGCTTTGGAGCCTGTCTTGGCACTAGCTATGTAGACCATACCATGCTGGTCTCGAATTCACAGAGATCCTCCTGGCTGTGCCACCAACACCCAGCTTATTTCTAACCCATTCTTAATCTTTGCAGCTGCTGATAAGCAAGGTTGTTGTCCATTTCTTTTAAAAGTATATGGTCTACAGTGCAGGATTGATTGTCCTTTTAATCCCACATTTACATCCTGCATTTGGAGTACTGATCTTATACCCTAGAGATAAACAACGATCTCTATGGAGACTGCTGCTCTTCTGAAATACAAAGTAGTGTTCAACAACTTAGGCAGGAACACAAGTGATCAAAACTGACACCGCCTATTTCCAGAAGTATTCCATCATATAAATTGCATTGAAGTGAAGGACTACCGAGGACTTATACTGTTATTTAGGTGAATTTCCATGTAGTTGCATGAGTAGTAAAACTAACCAAGAAAAAAACACAACAAAACTATGAAGTCAGCTGGTGCCTGCTGCAGCTTACAGAAGTTCATAATATGTAATGCCCCTTTTAAGCAACACCAGAAGGTCTCAAACAGTTTCCATTCCACTACTTCCTCCTTTACCCTACAACACCTGTCTATGACTCACACTGCCTCTAGAGTTTCTTAGATTAAAACAGCAGTGGGCTGCTTGTCTCTGCTGGGTTTCAGCAGGCTTCTTGCCCTCATTGTTTCCAGCTACCCTGCCTCCTAGCAGCTGTATGGAGTATCATGGAAGTTGAGAATGCTGAGTGCTGTTTTTCATTGTAGTTCAGTTCCCTATGTACACCATCTAAGCTCTAACACAGAAGCCTCTTCAAGACTTCCCTGTTCTGGCAGCTCTGGATTTAAGATGAGGACAGAGGAAGATGCACTTGAAAGAGGCTAACTCAGACTACTTTGAGAAGTTGGAGAAAACCTAAAATAAACCAGGAAGGCACACTTGCTCTCAATTACATCACTCCCAACTGAGGCAGGTGGTTCAAGAATATGAGGTCAGTCTAGGCTACTTAGAGCTCCTGTCTCAAACCAGAAGAATACAAGAATGGAGTAGGGTATGGAATAATGACAAAGCTATTCTGTGGAGAAAAACAAGTGCGCATCTGTAATTGCGAGCAGAGAAAGTGGGACAAGATGACCAAAAGGTCAACGTCAGGGCCTGAAGAGACTGCTTAGCAGGAGCATTGGCTGTTCTTCCAGAGGTTCAATTCCCAGCACCCACATGGCAGCTACCAACCAAGTTCTAGGGGATCCAGTGCCCTCTTCTGGCCTTTGGGCACCAGACGTGCATATAGTGAACAAACATAGATGCAATGTAGACACCCATACACACAAAAAAATTCTAAGTGTGGTGTGCCAAAACTTCCTGGAGAGATACACATACACTCACCACACACAGGAATCCCATGACAGACCCACTGAAGTCTAACTTGGTGAAACAGTGAATTTTATTGCAGTTTCTTAGGAAGCAGAAATGACTCAAAGGCAGCTGCACCACCAAAGCCCACTGCAACACAGGTGACACATCACAAAAGCTGGGAACCTAGAGCACTCTGCACAGCCTGTCCTTTCCTGGTGGGTCAAAGTTAGTTGGCCTCAGTTGGTCTAAATCACTTGCAGGAAGCTGGTCTCAGAATCTTCTTTGCAGTTTGGCTCATCTAAGAGTGTTTTGTAGCTCAGCTTCACTTCTGATGAGCTGGGACTCTCAGCTTTTATTGATTACTGTTACGGGTGAGGGGGATTGGCTAGTGAATCTGGGGAGTTTCAGGAACTTCCTGAAGCTCTTTTGAGTTGTTTACCTTCCTGTTTAAGGAGCTTCCCAGGAGAATGGAATGTTTCAATCTCAGGAAATTTACACTACAAAAAGGTCAAGATCATATTTGGCTATGTAGCAAGGAAACTAGCCTGTAATACTTTGATACCCTGTCTCAAAAAGAAAAAGTAAGCCTGGTGGTAGTGGCATATGCCTTTAATCCCAGCACTTGGTAGGCAGAGGGAGGTGGATCTGTGAGTTCATGGCCAGCCTGATCTGCAATGTGAGTGTGAGTTCAGGATAGCCAGGACTGTTACACAGAGAAACCCTGTCTTGGGAAAAAAGGAAAGAGAAGGAGGGAAGGAGGGAGGGAGGGAAAGAAAGGAAGAAAGAGAGAGAGAAACACCACCTGAAATTTCTGGCATAGTGGGCATTCTGAAGGAACACCAATATGTCTGAAGTAGTGGATAGGGGACAGTATCATGTTTACAAGAACATGAAATATCTCTTATGCCATATTAAAAATTACGCTGCCTAGTTATACACACCAGCAGGATATGCTGAAGAGCCATAGGCAAAAGGATCATGGGTTTGAGGCCAGACTGAGCTATTCCATGAAGCCAGCAAGATGACTCAGTGGGTAAAGGTACTTGCCATCAAACCTGATAAAATATATTCAACCCCAGGAACACACATGGTTAATTAAAGAAGAGAACCATCTGCCAGTTGTCCACTGACCTCCACATGTGTCCAGCCATACCCGTCTGCCAATACAGTTTCACTTTGGGAAAACAATTGGACTGGGGCTGGAAATGTGTGGCTCAGTTGGCAGATTTCTTGCCTAGCACACCCAAGGCCTTGAGCTCGACTCCCAGCATTGCATAAACCAAGTCTGTGGCACATGTCCTGCAGTCCCAGCACTTGAGAGGAGAGAAGAATATCAGCAGTGTAATATCCTGCTTGGCTACAAGGAAGTTTGGGGACACCTGGGATGCATGTCTCAAAACACTGAATCCAGCCAGGCAGATAGCATGCTTTCTTAAACCCAGGACTCAAGGCTGAGGCAGAAGGATCAAGAGTTCGAGCCCAGATTAGGTTACCCACTGGCTCAAGGCTAGACTGAGCTACAAATGAGACCCTTTCTCAGAGACAGAGAAAACACTTGTACTACTGGGCAGATAATGTAGCTTAGTGGAAGTGCTTGCCTAGCATATGCAAGGCCCTGAGTTTGATCCTCAACCAGAAAAAGAAAATTACACTACTTGAAAAACAGAAAAGGAATTTGAAAAAATATTTCAACAAGCTGACATGATGGTGCATGCCCATTCGGAGGCAGAGACAAGTGGATCCCTGTGTGTTCAAGACAATACTGAGTTACAAATTGAGTTCTGGGACAGCCAGGGCTGCACTGTGAAATCCTGTCTTAAAAAAGAAAAAAGTTATAGATGACACTGTCTGACTATCTGCAGGCTGCAGGCAATTTCAATCCCCTATGACAAAAGCTAGAGTAGAGATGCATAGAGGGCAGGTCCTGCATTTCTGCAGTCTGTAAAGATTCCAAGAAGAGTAGACCCAAGAAGGAAGATGGTAGCCTCTGCAGTGCAGCCAATGCCAGTTACATCAATGACAGTCATTGTGATCCAAAAGTACAATTCCTCAGGAATCTCCTATAAAAACAACATAACATCAGTAAACCACAGGAATGTATGCCTGGTGCTCAAGGAGGTCCTAAGGAGTGTGTTGGATCTCCTGGGACTGGAGTTAAAAATGTTTGGAGTCACAGTGTTGGTGCCAGGAACCAATCCCAGGTCCTCTTCAAAGTCTGACTATTTCATTGTTTTAACACTAACATGAAGTCAGTCATCATGCTGCACACACAGAATCACAGCCCTTTGGAGGCAGAGGCTACAGGAAAGCAAACCCCTAGGGCTTACAGCTCAGTTGTAGAGCCCTTGCCTCAGATGAACAAGGCCCTATGTTTGATCACCAGCACTACTGAAAGAGACAGGAAAAAATGAGTGTGTGTGTGTGTGTGTGTGTAA